TTTTCAGTTAAATATTTCCTTTACAACTAATTAGCACTGACTATAATTTTTCTTAAGTAGGATTAGAGCTTTTCGCTAGAGGAGATAGTTATCATTTTTTCCATATTTTACAACATTTCTAAAGGTTCAACTAAATTTGCTCTTGGACCTCCATCCATTTTGTCAGGCAATAGAGCTTTAGATTTACTAGTCCAATCACTATATATTTATAGTATTTTCTTAAACAAGTTCAAATACATATCCTTATATTGTTCGTAATCTTAATCAGGTGCATCTTATTTATTAGAGGATGATTTAAAATCCATATCGTATTGATGTTTGCTAACTTATTGTTTGATTTCTAAATCCTTTTGTAGATGCAAAAGTTATTTTTCAAGTTAAATGTTGTCGAGCTCTAAATCTGACACTCTTTTGGTGAGAATCAAGTTTTAATTCTCAAAATAATCATATTTATCTATGAATTTTTCAGCTTAAAAGTTTTCGAACCTCTTAGTCATAATGTTGAATTAAGGAATGAACTTTTCAATTTCAACTGTGCTCCTCTTGAGTTCGTCTAATTATTATTTGGGAAGCTTGATTTCTTTGAGAAGTTGAATATTCTTAAAATTCAGACTTTCCATTCGAACTCTACAATTCAAAGATCTTCCCCTTAGCCATTTCTAATTAATCCACAAGTTCTTAGCTAATTATAGATAATAGGGTACTTTTCTCTTGTAAATTTATCGATGTAGATGAGCATTTATTGTGTAACTTACTCTAATTAGAGCCTTGGATTCGCTCAAGACTTTTTCTTTGGCAAGATTATTGATCATCGTATAAAGAGAGTTCTCTGCCTTTTATTTGATTTCCAGAATGGCTCTTCTTCTTGGATTCATTTTAGCCATTTCTGAGGTGCTTTTGACCAAGTTTTCAATGGTTTTTTTGGGTTGGAAACTCTGAGTCTTGATTTACAGTTTTTTCTTGAGACTGCTTGAAGTATGCTTTTGCGTATTCAATGCTGACTTAGTTTACAAATATATATTACAGAAACTTAAAGTTTAAATTCTTCATCAATGGGTCCTGGTTTGGTGTAAATATAATTTCCGAAAGCATCAAAAACAATTCTATGAAAGTTTTTTTTGAATTGCTCATATTCATCCTGATTAATTTACACTTCCTTTTCGAAATAGTCCTCTGGTGGATCAATTTCAGCCTATTCTTTTGTAACCCTCAAATTGCACGATACATTTTCAGATCTTGCTCCTACATTGACTTTCTTCTCTTGCAACTTGAGCAAACTCCTTGGTGTGAGACTTGTAGCGGCAGTATATTTGTTGATTAATAGTTATTGATCTTGATCATCATTTGGAATAGATAGTCTAAGATGCAATATTTATTTACTGAAATTGAGGTCTTCGAGGGCTTGTCACAGCTGTTTATGGTCTTGTGCGAGCTGAACTTAAGAAAGAGCTCTTAGGACTTGTGTGAACAGACATTTTAATAATAGTTATATTAATAAATGAAGATTTTGTCATACTAGTTGAGTGGAGTATTGTTGGAAATCATTAGAAATTAAGGAGAAAATCAAAGTATTGTAAAAGGGAAGTTATGTATTCCCATTATGTTTAATTAATTTGGTGAATTTATATACGTTTTTAACAAAAATGAAGTGATAAAGTTATTTATAAATTGCAATGTCTTAACACAAAATCTTTGCTAAATAGGATGTAAGGAAGCTCTACTTAGATGAACAAGGGAATGTTGATTTTAATAAGATATAGGCCAGATGGGATGAGTTGAAGAATATAAAGGTGAGCTTAGCCAACAAACATTATACTCAAGCAGTAGTTGAGAAGGTGAAAACAATGTCTGCTGAAGACTAATAACGATTCTTAGATATAGTGATAGCCGGTCTAACAAATGATGATAGCTAAGTTGGTATATCAGCCACAAGACCAGAGGATTATGATGTTTTTCTGTTTTATCTAGAACCAATAATCAGAGAATATCATAAGATCGAAGGGGAGACGAAGCAAGAACATGATTGGAATATCCCAGTTGGTGAATATGTATTAACAAAGATTGATCCTGCATTGGAGAAGGTTTCAATGAGAGCCAGAGTGGCCAGAAATGTTGTTGGTTACAATTTACCATCATCAATGGATAAGGATGAGAGGATCAAATTTGAGAATCAAATGGTAACTGTGTTTGAAAACTTTGGAATTCCAGGAAATTATTACAGTCTAACACCAGGTCATAAGAATTTTATATCAGATCAAAAGGCTGATGAGTTAAGGAAAAGGCATTTCTTATTTATAGATATGACAAGTGACAATCATTTAATGTCGAATGGTGTAGCATCAGATTGGCCATTTGGAAGAGGAATCTGGATAAGTTAAGATGAGAGTAAAATGGTTTGGGTAGGAGAAGAAGATTAATTAAGAATTATTTCAATTGTCTAAGGAAATGATTTAGGCAAGGTTGATTAATCCCTTCATGAATTATTAAATGGTATTGAAAAGAGTGGTCTCAAATTTGCTGAGCATCCAGTCTATGGTATCATAACAACATGTCCAACCAATATGGGAACTGGAAAAAGATAATCTATCTTGGGCAAATTCCCAAATCTTAGTAAAGCTGGAACAGACGAAGCCAATTTGAAAGATAAAGCAAAATCAATTGGATTATAAGCAAGAGGAATCGGTGGTGAGCACTCATCTGTGGATCAAGAAGGAACTGCTGACATTTCCCCATCAGCAAGATTTGGTGTCACAGAAGCTATTGTAACCAAGAGGTTATTTGAAGGATTAATTGTGCTCTATTAAATAGAAAAAACAACAGTTCCAGAAAAGGCTAGAAATAATTGTTGCACAATATTTTGAATATCTTAATACAAAAATATCAAATATTTATTTCAATGTTGTTCTAATTAAACTCAAATTTAATAGCAAATATGATCAATTTAAATATAAATAATTAATTTTATTGATAATTTTAACAATAAATCATCTCAATTTACTTATTTTCCATTAGAATATAGAATTGTCTTCTCCGCCAATACTAAACAAGTAATGATCTTCCATTGACCAAGCAATGTTGGTAATATGAGATGAATGTCCTTTTCCTAAGATGTATGCTGATTCTTTCTTAACGCAAGGATATCTATATTATTACATTTAGCATATACCTAAATACTTTGATTTATGAGTTATCATCACCAGTTGCAATCAAATGATAATTATCAGGGGGTTTATCCTTTTCATTATATGTCTTATTTGATCTGACAGCAGCATTGATATCACTGCCATCTTAGATATCTGGCCATATTCCTTAAACTGGCCATCCGTATGGTGTAGTCCAAGTCAACCATTTCTCATCTCTTAATTAATTTGCTCCATTTGGCAATTATTTACCAGTTTGAAGTTCCCAAAACAATAGTTCATATCTGAATAACATAAGTATTAATTAGATACCCTCCGCAATTGCTATGAAGATGATTTCCATCTATGGAGAAATCAATATGAGTAATGTAGCTTGAATGTTTCTTGAGTGGTTTGTAACGTTGTTTCATATCTGGGAAACTGTAGATATATATGGAATTATCATGAGATCCAATTGCAATCCAAGATTGATCATGACTGAATTTGATATCACTAATCCACTCTTTGGCTAATCTATTAACATATTTTTATTTGAATTCTTTATCATATATCTTAAGTTAATTACTTATAAAATACCCTAAATGTTCCATCCTTAAATCCTACGCATATTGAAATACCATCCAAAGAAACAGCTATACATCTACCTTTTGTATTATCAGGCAATTCACCAACTTCATCTTGTTTGATTTCTGCTCCATTAACATCAAGATTGGTTTTGATGCAATTGAGCATTTTCTTTTGACTGATAGACCAAGATCTTAGAGTTCCATCATCTCCACAAGTATAGTATTGATCAGAATCTTGTGGATTAATAGCCAAACCCCAAATTTCATTCAAAGATCGCTTATTTGGAGAACAATGAGATTTCATTAAGGTTTTAGAAACAGCAAATTTGGAGTTAATATTGATTTTGGCATCTTTAGTAACTAATTCAACAATATCTCCAGCATTAGTTGATATAAGTAAAGTCTTCTAATCATACCCTAACGATATGGACTTGACTTCTAATCCCAATGAATTGCTGGGATCAAGCTATTACAATTAAAATGACTTATTAAAATTCTATTAATATCTTCATTACTTAAAATCTCTTCAGCAATATTATAATAATGTCTTTCCAAAGTATCTAATTTTTTGATACTTCTTAATTTACAATATATGTACTTGGCAATTATCATTATGCTAATTTAATTATTTTTCGAATTCCATAAGACGATTAATAAATTTAAAAGATTTAATTTTTTCCTTTAATATCCAAGAAATAATAATAATATCTAAAGGCTATTTTTATACTTAATTAGCCCTTAATAAAATTATTATATTATGTATACAACTAGTGTTTGCCAAAAATTATATACTGTCAAATATATTTTTAATTTATTATATTCTTAATTCATTTGGTGAGTTTTTCTCGAAAAAATTATATTCACAATATTTCAGCCAATCAGAATCAAAATTACAAATGTCTCAAAGATTCTTTCATTCAATTCTTATGCTAAACAATTAATTCTTGTGTTAACCAATTCATTCAATGTTTACTTATTTGTAATCCTAAAATATCTGAAAAATTAATCTTAATTAGAGAATAAAAGCTATTAAATTATTATATTTGAATACTAATTTTTTTCAATAAAAATGAATTTTTGACCATTAATTACTAATGAAGAAGTTTGGAATCATTAACATTACTTATAAGTATATATTAATTTAATTTAATTCCTTTCAAAATTAAATACAAAAATTTTAATTTAAATTTTCATTTTCCTTTTTTTTTTCATTTTTTTTTTCATTTTTTTTTTCATGCAATAAGAGTCTATATGGTCTCACATCTTCTGAATTATTAACAACGAAAAATTGTTTTGATTTCATCATTTTACTTTATTTAATTTTCTTGGGATTTACTCTTGACATAAAAATAGGTGCAAATTATTTTTCACCAACCTAAGTGTATTTAGCATATTAATTATCAATACAGACCTTAATATCATTTGAAAAATAAATTCCTTTTCCAACTTTAACTTTCTCTCCAAGCTCATTAATACATTCATCATTTTAATGATGTTATTTCTCACCACTTATTAAATTGTTTTTTATAATTGAATTAACAGCACCTTAATTGGTACCATGATACATAATTCTCCATTCTTTTGGATTACCATCCATTTTTAACCAATCATTTCCATGTTCTTTTACCTACTTTTCTACATTTAACCCAAATCCATAGCAACCTATTGGAAAATAATAATCATATCTATGATAAGGAGGCCCTCTCTATTTTTTTTCATGAAAATTATCCCAGCTCATATTGTGTGAAGGATTCAAATCATCAAAAGAAAGAGTGACTCCTTTTGATTAGCTATTTGCTTGATGAAAGTATTCTACGTAATCTACATTTCCATTACAATACTCATATAAGAATTTCTTTGCTTCTGGATTTTAAAACTATTATGAAATCCATTTCCTACTAGCTCTTATAATATTAAAGCAAATTTTCAAACTACCCTTTGATACTCCTAAAATTTCAATTTAATCAGTTGAAATATTGAGTGAACTTGATAGCTTTTACTTAAATTCTAATAAATGTTATTACAATAATTGGTTGTCATTCACAATTTTATCATAATCAAGATTTGTATTTCTTACTTTTAAACAATATTAATCTTAGCCATAATATTCAATTATTGAATCAAATCCAAAGGAATATTATTTACTTGTTGCTAATAATTCTCGATTTTGATCTCTCAATAATGATTCTTTTAAAACAAAAAGTGCCAATTCAGGATTTGAGACTTCAATATTCTATTTCACATGAGGAATTGATTTAGTTTTGCCATAATCTTTTAATTTTGTAATTAGTTATTATTAATATTAATGTTTAAGGTATTATTTTTAATTATTTGTAAGATTCTTATTATTATCTAATTATTTAAGTTCTTTATTTAATATATCAATTTATTCCTCAATTGATTTTGAACGAATTTCTTATTATATATATATTTATTAACAAACTAATAATAAGTCTTAATTAAAAATTTCCTTTTTCTCAAATTAATCTTTCAGTTCGGTTACAACTTTTTCTTATTTAATTAAAGTTGATTAACTTGTTGTTTATAAGTCTTATTAAAGCATTCGCTTCAATTCAAATACACATTTTTCATTATCTCCTAAAATCCTGTTTAATGTCGTTCCATCTATGCTTATATTTTTATTAAAAGTGGGCAAGAAAAATTGATAATCCTTGCTATTTCCTTACATGCTAACATTAATTAAAGTTCTGAATACTTTAGAAATTTTATTGTTAACAATTCAAAAAGGTCTAAAGTAGAGGTAGTTTTTGCTAAAGAAGCTTAAGATTTGACCTCAAAGCAATAAATGTCGATTTCATAATATTCTGGCAGCATCAAATTGTATTAAATTATTAATATTTAAACAAAATATGAATAGGCCTTATTTATTGTTTTAATTTTATAAATAAACTAGTGTTTCTAAAAATAATATATTAAATCTGTCTAATTAAATGGAGCAGCATTAATTAGATGCTTATTCATAAATGAATTTTTTATTTTGTATAAAATCCAATCTATCATACACAAATAAAAGAATGTGAATTAATCGCTGAAATTTCAGCTTGATTCTATTCTCTTTAAATAGTCTTGATCCACAAACCGCATTCTTCCTTGGTTTTAGTTTTAAATTTATAAATTTTGGAATCTTCTAACTAGATCTTAAAATTCGCAGGTTTCTATGATTAGGAATGACTTCATCCATATTTTGAAGGATGATTTGTTTTATGCCTCTCTTGAATTGGAATTGATATACCAATACATAAACCCTTTCTAATTCTAATATATCTATAATCCCAGGCTTTCGATTATGGTTCCTTCTTATATAGATAGCCTTCATCTACAAATTCTTCCTTTTCAATTAAGTTTCGTTATTATTATTTCTAGGGTATCTATAATTATAATATATATGTTTACATATTGAATTTCTTGATCATTAAAATCTAATTTAATATCTGCTCCTCTGATCACTTATTCTTACCATTAACCAGTTTCTTATTGATCATCCTCTTAGCCTAAAAAGTCCATAATTCTAACACTTTCATCCTCTATAGGTAGTGTTTTATTGATATCCTCAATTAGAGTATTGCAAATTTCGATAGTGTCTTTCTTTTACTATTTATCCAATTCTATTCTTAGGGTCATAATAGATATGATTGTTTTCTCTGAAAATGCTCTACAAAAATACTATCGTAAACTTTTACAAGGATCCAGAATACTCAGAGATTCTTCATTTAAAAATGATTCTGTATTATTTGTGGAATTTTCAAATACTTCCTTAATTGTGAATTTAAATTTAATTTCTAAATCAACTAACTATTCTTCTTTATCATATCATCAAATGGTTTCATAGTTGCTTAAAATTACTCTCAAAAATGAATTTTTCTAATTCTTAGAATAGAATATCTTTGTCAGTATCTAATTTTCTGATGAATTCATTAAGTAAAGTAGTAGAGAATAATGGAATCAGTAAGTTGTTTCCAGATTTTCCTACTAAATCTGTCATGAAATTGTGATAAGGTTTCAGTGGCTGGCTCAATTATGGATTTAACAGTATCTATAATTTTGATTTGGAGATAAGGTTTTTAAAATGAGTGCCTATCCGACTGAAATAGAATACGAATATTCCTTCCTTACAATTACTGGCAATCTAATCAAAATTCTTGGTGATTTTCTGTGGTATTATCATGCAAAGCCAAAGTGTTTTACATATGGCCACTTATTTAGGAACAGAGAGTTTGTGTTCATCAATGATTTCTTGAATCCCACCTTAATATTATTATAGGATAACTTTGCCAAACCTCCGAATCTGGGTATTGTTTCTTTACATGAACATAATTTATATGCCATATCAAAGCCTTCTTTTACGATTTTAAACAGATCAACAGAAGTCTAAGTAATTAATTGTTCTTATTCATTCTAGAATGGCTCTTAAATGCTATGAGTTGTAATTCCGGAGACTATTTATGATATTACCTTTAATTACTTATATTTTCATGTAAGACTAATCCCACAACTTTGTAATTCTACTACAATTTTTTCATGATAAATATTGCATTGATTCCAACATATCTTATCACAGATGGGTCAATTAATTAAAAAACTTATTCAGATCTGCATCCTCTTCTGTCAAGATGGCTGCCATGTCTGATTCTAAATTCTATTGAATCTTTTCTCTCCTAGCTAGTAATTGAGTTTCTTCTTCATAAAACTTGATTAATGGGTCAATGTTCTTTTTTATTTTAATTTTTAATGGGTTATTGATTGCCTTAGTTGTTCTGATAAATTTACTTAGAGCAGATTGCCACTTTCTACATTCCAATTCTGAATCAGCTATGAGATGATATAATCTATCTCCCATATTCAATTTGAAGGTGTATCCACTTTCTTTTGATTTGGACATATTTTTAAGGCAGATCTCTTTTTTTGATAATCATTAGACATTCATATTAGAATAATAATTAAATCATTCGGAGTAGATCACATTGCTATGGAGTCGTAAATGAGTGTAATGAGAGAGAGTGCTATCATAATAATGCTAATCATAATAATGCTATCATAATATTAACCAATTATTTTAATTAATTTAAAATGTTCCCCTCCCTCAACTCAATCAAGAAGCCGAAGAAGAGTTTCAATCTGCTGCATCTTGAGACACAAGAGTAATATTTCCTCTCCCTCAAAGTGGCACTAATACCCAGTACAAGAAGTGATGAGTAACATATTTGTATATATCGATTCCAAAATCAGAATTCGAGGCAATTTGCATCTATGTTCTCGTTCCTTGGTTTTCGAGCCCAAATCCTCGTAGTTGCCCCTCATGAAAATGAAGTACAGCAATGGACTCTTTATGAAAGTCCTCAAAAATTTCGAACCCAAATCACTTGGTCATCTGCTCAGTATTCGTTGGGGTCATCAATTAATGCAGGAGGAGATCGATCAACTCGATTTAGCATCAGTCTTGAACTAATAGAAGGGAGAATAAGTTTCTACTATTATTGATTACTAAATTAGAAATCGAATGAACTCTTAGAAAAGCTTTACAATAGATAACGCAAGAACATCATATAATTAGCATGCAACTGCTTCTTCATCAAGGTCGATAAACTCTTTATCGTCAATCGCAATCCCATCAGTCCCTACATCACCGAAACTGTAATAATCCCTAATTCTCTGTCTAGTGCGATGACAACATTGTGTTCACCATATCCAAATCTAATTCTAAGCAGACCCTCATTCGATTTCTTAAATTATACCAAGGAATTAATCAAGCCGAGGACGAGTTCACCTTCATCAATCAAACAATCCAACAAACCTTAAATGACAGTCTACTTGAACATAAACAAAATGTAGGATCTGAAGGCCACAAAATAGAATTTATTCATAAAGGTACACGCTCTTCTCTATTATGAATAGCCAGACTCATTAAACCTGAAGGAGTGATCTTTGGGTTGTTTAGCATTCAAAAAGAAGAGATACTCCAATTCATTCCATTAATCAATTCACCCAAAGGCAAAATCATGTAATTCATGTTCACTGACATCAAATACTTCATCAAATACAGATATATGTTCAAAAACAACGGAATCGAATTCTGGATGTACAACAAAAAGAGATCCTATCTCTTTGTCTTTGATGACCAAAACACCTAAGAATCTGTCTTTAAATACTTCCAGAAGAAGGCAACAAAACGTTGTCTAACCGCTTTGACCAAAGAAAAAGTAGCTGAAGAATGGACAAGTGGTAATATGACTAATTTTGATTATTTGATGGCCTTGAATACTCTGGCCAACAGAAGCTTTAACGATCTCTCCGCCTACCCTGTATTCCCATGGATCATTGCTGAATATAATGAGAAAGAATTCAGTGTCAACTCCCCGGCATTTTTCAGAGATCTATCTAAACCCATGGGGGCCCTCAATAAACATAGACTCTAAAAATATAAAGTAATCTCATTGTCATACTCATGTAGGCATTCTATAAAGATCAATTAAAAGATAAGAAATAGGATCCTAAACCTTATTTATACCCCACTCATTATTCCAGTCCTGGAACAGTCGTCTATTATATGATCAGGAAAATTCCGGAATTCGTTATTAAATTATAAAATGGTGTCTTCGGACCAACAGACAGAATATTCAGAGGCATTGATTCCACTTGGTTTACTACTCTCAATCTTCATGCTGATTCCAAAGAACTCATACCAGAGTATTTAACCACTTTATACATTAGATTCTACGGATTAGATAGTGACTTTCTAGTTAATTGTGATAAATTAGAATTGGGCATAACCTAAGATGGAGAAGTGATTGATGATGCAGTCATACCAGCTTGGGCTGACAATGCAGTAGATTTCTTAGCCAAAATGAGGATTGCTTTGGAAAGTCCATATGTTTAGGCTAACCTACCTCAATGGATTGATTTGATTTTTGGAAATAAATCCTCTGGAAACGAAGCACTTTTAAATGACAACTTATTCTACCCTTACACTTATGCAGAAAATGTCAATTGGGATAAATGCAAAACTGATATTGAAAGGCAAGCTCTAGAAATCTAAGTTACTGAATTTGGTCAAGTACCCTTACAATTATTCTAAACAGCACATCCTTAAAGGAAGTTGAAAATTCAAGGAAATTTGAAATAATTAGAAGATGAAAAGAGGGAACTCAAATTAATAAATTAGAATTTATAAAATAAAATTCAAAAATTAACCCAGTAGATCTAATAAAGTTAAGATAAAGAATTAGTTACATAACTGCAAACTCAATTGGCTGCACTTTAATGGGAAAACGAGAAACTCAAATTCAATCTTGAAACCTTTAAATAAGAAGTGATGGCAAGCAAAGAAGTTATACAAACATTTAATTCACAATTTGATTAGGAAGAATTTGATAAAAATGGTTTCGACTTTTTAAATGACGATAGCCTCTTGGACAGTTCAAAAAAAGCCAATTAATGAATGATTCTAATATAGATATAAATTATTAGTTTTTTTACTTTGTCATATTGTTTTTTTGAAGTTTTTCTAATTCTTGAATTACTTTTTAATCACTTTACATAGACTAAGTTTTAATTCTCTATATGTTTGGAGATACCCTCATTTTCATAGAAGTTGAAAAGTAGGTGATGAAATATTTTGGTATTAGATATCGATAGAAAAAATTTATGAAATTTAATTCAAATAAATATCATTCTAATTAGACTATTTAGTAAACTAAATATCGACATCTATTTTTATGAATTAAGTAAATAAATAAAATTTATATATTATATATTTTTGTAAAAAGTTGAACACCTATTATAAATATTGGAGAGTAAAAAGATTTATCTATTGAAAGGTCATAATGTTAGTAATAATTGAATTGAGAATAGCTAGTAAATTTAGAAAAATATTATTATAAATAGGCAGGATCACAGCGAATTAATTTAGATTTGATTCTTTGAAATTCAATCAAAATCAATTGGACATTAATAAAGATCAGTAATATAAGAGCGATATTATATTTTAGTAGGATAACATCTAAGATAAAAAACTAAATATTTTGAGAAAATATAATTAATTGAAAGATTTAATAAATAAATTGAGTCCTTAGAGAGTTTAAAAATAATTATGAAAATTAGAATATAGATAGATTGATAGATATATAATATATATGAGATTACTATAATTTAACTAAATATGTTAAAGGAAAGAAATAATAGAAAAATTTAGTCAATAATAAAGTGGATAAAGATATTAAGAATGAAAATAAAATAAGAACAAAAAAGTTGGATTAGAAGATCAAATGAATACTAAGTACATAATTTATCATTGAGAGTATAACAAAATCTAAACTATAATATAAGAATGGAGTATGAATTGATTTAATATTAGTATAAAAATACATATGTTGAAAACTGCATTTAGATGGATTATTGATTCAAATATACATATTTAAAGAAAAGAAGAGAGAACAATAGCAGAGAGGCTCTGATGTTCAAGGAGAGTAAGGTTAATCGTTATAGGTCGTCTTTTAGAGAAGAAAATTAATGATGGAAGATTTTGCTTTTGATATTGAAATATCAACTGAAATAAAATTAATTAAAGTTAAATGGGTTCTTGTTGTCAAGCCAGTCAAGTAGCTCGGGATTAGTATGTGTTTCCAGATGGAGGAGTGTATACAGGAGAGTTGAAAGATGGAATACCAGTATGATTGATGATCATCTTTAGCATGGTGTTGGAGCAATATCCTTTGATAATGGATAATCCTTTGAAGGGCATTTCGAGAATGGAGTGAAAAGTGGCAAGGGAGTTTATAGATGGAATGACAATTCTTATTATGATGGGGAATTTCTGAACGATGCATTTAATGGTTACGGCGAGTTTTATTGGAGCAATGGCAAATGGTACAAAGGATAGTGGGTGGAAGGGAATATGCAAGGAGAAGGACAATTCTTTTCTGATGGTAAGACTTACAAGGGTGAGATATTTAATTTTAATTTAAGGTGAATTTGAAAATGATAAGAGGAATGGAAAGGGAGAGCAAATTTGGCCCAATAGACAAAAATACAATGGAGAATGGAAAAACAATAAGATGCATGGAAAAGGACAACTGACAGAGCCAAATGGGAGAGTAATCGAAGGGGAATGGGTAAAGGGAAAAAAGAAATGATTATATCGTATATTTAATTTTTATAACATATTGTGCTATGGGTAGTGTTTGTCAGCTAATAAATAGAACTTAAGGAGGGACTATGTGCATTTAATATACAGAGTAAAACCCCGACTATGAAATCTAAGGTCCTCTAGCAGAAGTGAAGGTTATGAGCGCAACTAAAATCTAGGCTTGTTATCGACGCTATTAAGCAAGAAAACAAGTAAATAAAAAATTCTATGATTACAGGAAAAAGAAATCGAAGAGTCTTAAGCTCCTCTGAAACACATAGCAGTCCCAACTGAGTAAGTTCCTGAGATTGTGCATCAAGTTGTTTCAAAAGTGCTTCTTCAATTAGGTCCTTTCGATTATTCTAAGTGTTCTACTTTGATTGCGGCTAAATTTCTTTCCGCTTATTAATTTCTTAGCAACGGAGGGATCTATATAGGGTAATGGAAAAACCACAAAAGAAACGGTAGAGGAAAATACATGTTTCCTGATGGTTCCCTGTATGAGGGTTTTTGGGTCGATGATAAAGCCAATGGATATGGAAGACTCATAGTTACTAGTGGAGAATATTATATTGGAGAGTGGAAGAATGATAGGAATGATGGGTATGGAGTTTATGTACATGCTGATAAGTCAAGATATGAAGGGTTTTGGAAGGATGATAATAAACATGGGGAAGGAACTGAAACATGGGAAGGAACTGAAACATGGGAAGATAAACCAGCTGTTTTTAAAGGCAACTATAACATGGGTCTAAAGGAAGGATTTGGAATCTATAAGTGGGCTGATGGATCAATTTATGAAGGAGATTTTAAGAACAACCAATTTTAAGGGAAGGGAACTTACATTTGGCCTGATGGCAGCAAGTAAGAGGGATTATGGGAGAATAACAAGATGAATGGCGAAGGGGTGATGACTTGGGAAGATGGCAGAAAATATATAGGTATCTTTTCTTTTTGATTAGGGGGATTTAAGGATAATGATAAGGATGGTTATGGAGAATTATATTGGGCTGATGGCAGGATTTATAAGGGATAGTGGTAAAATGGGTTGTAGCATGGAGAGGGAATCTACATTGATAAAAATGGGAAATAAATCAAAGGAGTGTGGTTTGAGGGACACAGGAAGTGATTTAATATTGCAATTACGTAATCATTCTTAAGTCCTCCTGATTTAATATATATAAATGAAAATTGAATAATAAGATTTAAGATTTCGCGACTCTAACAATTTCCAAAGTATTCCCTAACTGTAAGTATGCATAGAGCAAAATCATTTAGATTCTGGTTTTAGGTGATGGATCAACTGGCAAAACTTCGCTCCTCAATATACTAACATAAAGAAAATACCCAATAAAAATCAAATCGGACTAATCTAAGATCCCAATTAAAACTCAAGGATGTGATATCAAAATTGCAATGAGGAATTATTCCAATAAAAAGGTTCTCCTTAAAATGATCGATCTTTCTGGAGATAAGTCATAGAGGCAATATCTGGATGTTTACATCTCCAGACTCAAACTGGACGCAATAATCTTCTGTTTCGATGTCACCAATCTTAAAACATTGGACCATTTGGGAAAATGGATTAAGAGACTCACTGTAAAGGATGCCATCGATCAGGAAATGGAGGAATTCCTAGATACCGATAGAAGCGATTTTTCTCTTGGAAGCACTACAGCTGTTTCTGATGGATAAGACTCTCTATTGAATTACCATAATTACAACGGAATTCCAATGAAAAGGATCCTTCAGACACCATTTATATTTATTGGTTGTAAGATCGATCTGATTCCTTCTGATAATCACATCCCATTGAGACAATAAGTTTAGAAGAGAGTAATTATGTATTGAATAATAATTAGATTCAATAATTCTACAAACGATCCAACACAGTGATTTTATTAAGTACAATAAACCCTTCCGTATATTCTGATCAATTTAATCTATTAGAAAATTATATAACTAGAATATATCAATGGGATATGATTGAGGACTTCTTTATTTAGGATCAGATTCAATCAAAAAGAATACCAATAGATGAGTCCTTTTGGAAGGAGACAATTTAAATAAAATTGCAAAATAAATTACAATATTTGTATGTGTTTGTAAAGCATTTTTGTTAGAAATTACTTTTTAAAAAGATGAAAAGAGATGATTGATTTGTGTATAAAAATATCGAAAATAATAGCATCATTCTATATTTCCAAGATTAGCATAATGATAATCAAGCTCTTTTTGGTAACACATATTATTATATATTAATAATTTTACTAACTGAACAATTATATTTGAGGAGACAAATTAACAACACTAAAGAAAGTCATTTTAGTTTGAATTTCTTCAAATGATACAATTCTTATACAATCATATAATATATAATTACCAAACTAAAATGTAAGACGATCGAGTTTTGGAGCGCAGTCCATAAGATACATTGCGAATCCCGCCGAGATTATCGATGATGGAGAAGAAATGCAGTGGTCGTTTCACGTTTGTGAAGACCCAAGCTGAGGAACAGAAAGAAGTAGTTTAAAACAATATGAATCGAATAAAGTAGCAATTCAGATGTAAAGATCAAAAATTAAGAATAGGTTAACTCAACCACATAATAAACAAGCCAACTTAACCTCTCTAGATGAGAGAAGAACAATTGTTGGAGTTGGGTAGGAAATTGGATATTGAAATAACATCAAGTGATGTTGAAAACATTGTACCGAATACAAAAGAGTTTTTTGAAGAATATGAGATGCATGAAAGATTAGGTGAAGGTTGTTTAGGGTTGGTTAAGAGAGTAGTATTAAAGAGAACAGGACAGGAATTCGCAGTAAAAATTGTGGCTACCTAAGATGATGAGATTATAAGGAATGTAAGTGATATTTGAAAATGCTTAGATGATTCACGAGTTTAAGAGATTAATCAAATTATCACATGCCAATATAGTTAAAGCTTACAAAATGTATTTGGACTTTGATAATGGATTCTAATCTGAGAGTCAGGCCTATGTGATATTGGAACTCATAAAGGGGAAGGAAATGTTCGAAGTAATAAATGAGGCAGGACATTATAGTGAGAATGATGCAAAAGAATTATTCAAATAGTTGCTTAGTGCAATTGAATATATGCATAGAAATGGCATATGTCATAGAGACTTGAAACCTAACAACATTCTCTGTCTCTCCGGTATTGTAGTAGCTTATACTAAAAATAGATCGGAAACTGATAAAAGTCACAGATTTCAATGTTAGTAAATTCAGTGATTCTTACAAAGAATTTGGCAATTTGTAGGATACTGAAAAAATTGAAATGTGGACTTATACAGGAACTGTGGCATTTTCAGCCCCCGAAATATTCACAGGTGAAGGATACAAGTACAATATTCATTGTTATTATTATAGTCAAATGGTAGACATGTGGAGTGCAGGATGTATTTTGTATTCGATGTTGTCTGGTCAATTGCCATTCAATGCAGATTAGTACATTTTAATTAGATATTCTAAGTTTGAATGATCTAATCGAGTCTATCAAATTAGCCAAATATGAGTTCCCTGAAGAAATCTTCCAAGAAGTCTCGAGTGAAGCCAAGGATCTAATCCAGTAGTTGCTTCAAAAAGACCCAGGTCTCAGACCCCATCCTGATGAGGCTCTCAATCATCCTTGGTTCGCAGAGAGCATTGTTATACGAAAAAGCTTAAGACACCTGACAATAAATAAGAACATATCTCATCTTTCTTCTAGGAACTCGAACAAACTAAGATAAAGGACCATCCTTTTATAGAGAGGCTATTATGGAGGTTCAAGTGATGGAGATGAAGGATGTACTACTGTACAGGAGATGAAAGTTAAGGGGGCTGCTCGAAAAAGTCTGTTTAATACTGCATTGGCACCAATGGAGTTGTTATCAGACAATAAATGCTTGAAGGTGTAGAATGCAGTACTTCGCAAGTCAAATACAACTCATATACATGATTTTACATAAAATGATGAATAGTGATATATATAAATTAATTATATAAATAGTTTTGGTTATCCAAAAATATCTTATTTTAATCATTTTGCTATTTTTAAGTGAACACATTATTTCTTTCAAATCATTAATTAAATTTAGCAATGCAAAATAAATCAGTCTTCGATAAATTAGGAGGATAAGCCAACGTTGATGCTGCAGTTGTCAAGTTTTATGAAAAAGTTCTCTCAGATCCCTCTGTTAGTCACTATTTCAAAAACACAGACATGAAGAAATAAACTGAAATGCAATAGAAGTTCCTTGGTATGGCTTTCGGAGGACCAAATCATTACACTGGAAGAGTAATCAATTCACATTTATATAATCTAGGATATGAAAGCAGGTCATGCTGGACTTGGAATTACCACCGCAGCATTTGATACTATCGTTAAACATCTTGGAAACACTTTGAAAGAGATGGGTGTACCTGCTGAAGTCATTGCTGAAGCTGCAGCTGTTGCTGAAACCACAAGAGCAGACATTGTTGAAATCAAATGATTTAATCACATTACATATTTGCATCCTTATCAATATTATCAACCATTCAAATATTCAAGCACAGAAATTCATTGCAACATCTATGCATGATATCCAAAGATGATAACTTGTTCATACAATCAAATTATTAAACATTATCAGATATGGTATTAATTTGTATGGTATCTATGACACCTTGCTTTCAATGTAGGATATCGTTGTCTTATTATACCTTTATAAGTGTTTGAAAAAGTACGAATCCTTAATCACTTATATAATAATGTCAGATAAATTTGTCAATATCAAATTATACCAAAAGAATGTAGATATAAAACACATAAAACTAAGAAAGCATAAATTAAAGAGATATTCAAATCTGAGAGTGTGTTATATCTGACTATATACATGGGATAAACAAATAGAAACAAAAATAATTATTCATAATAAGAGGTGATGATAATTTATACTGCAATGATTAATTCATATTCTACTAATAGATTTGGTGACATTGACCATATGGAAGTCATTTATAATTGACTTTACATATCTATATTTAATAAATGATATTAAAAAATATATATTTATAAATGATATTAAAAATATATATATTTTATAATATAAATTCTTATATCTGCAAAAGTAGCTTTACAAACATGGCTGCTTATATGAACCTACATGTAAATTGATTATTCAATCAATTTATAGTATAAAGTAACCAAATTAGTAAACGCAATAATTCTAATTGATTTTGGGAAACTAGTATACTAAATTGGTTGCCATTGAATATGAATGAATGCTTATAGATATTCATAATCCTTATAATTTACTAATTAAAATTATTAAATGATTGTTTTTATAGCGCACATAATTTTTGATAAACTATCTAACTAACTATCAATAAATCCAAATATCTATATCTATTGAATTCCCTATCCATAATCAATCCTAGTTCCAGTAGGACTGCAAAGGAATTAAATTAGCAAGTCTCAAATTTTTGTTTTATTCATATGCAAAAAAAATAGTTCATGGGATAAGTACTTCTAGACCTTAGAATTGGATTTCACAAATGCTAAATCTGCTTAATTTGTCTTAAACTTAAAGTTTCCACCTTGATATTGCAAATCAAATTAGTGTTGTTGTAAGGTTAAATTATTTTTCCCTTACACTTAGATTATGCAAAGGAAAAGGTAATCAAAATTGGGTTAAGAATGTCTTTAATGGTTTGGTAAGAATACACTCACATGTGCATGTTGGGAATACTGAAATAGGAGAGGTATGTAAATATCCTATAGGAATGCAGTTTTTATTCTTAAAGGAGCAAAAGGTGGGGATGGAAAGAATTTGGATGGGTTTATAATAAAAGTAATTGGACACGTTTCGGGATGGTAATTCTATAAGGAGGATGTTGAATGAAGGAATGTATTTATAATTGTTTGTGTGAACATAAATACTCAATATCCGGAATCAGCAAGGTACTTTGCCATATCAAGGACACGTTTGTTGCAATCGCTAGCATTCTAAGGTGCTCCATTTTCAGCATTGATGGTTTGGGAGAATGAAGCAAAGACAACAGCTGAATTGGTCCAAGCAACACAAGCTCCACCTTTATTCTATGATAATGAATGTTTGATATACCTTCTTTAAGTACCAGCTCTTGTTTTCTCCATCAAATTATATTGTGTAATACTTTTGGTTGTTGATTCTAACTCCAGCTGGATTTCCTGTCTCTCCTTTGTGAGCGAGAGCATGAATAAAAGCAGCCTTTTCATCATAAGCAACTTTGGTTGTGATGTCTGGATTTTTCTCATCTGGCACTTCGGCTTAATAAGATGGGAGGGCGGCAACTCCGAAATTGCTAGCCCAGATGTTTCCATCTGTTCCAATGATGGCAGCATATTCAAGCGCGCCATTGGCTGTCAAGTTAGTCACATAAGCATCCCAAGACATTGTATGTTAATATAATTATTAAAAAACATATCTTCGTGTAATGCAGCATATATAATGAATTTAATTTAAGATACTAATACTTATGTAATTATGTAATATTCTCGATTATAGGGATATATTAATATGCCATCCATTACATAACTCCGTTGATTTCCTATTGTGCATTCAATCTCCTAACTTGTTTGAAACTCCAAAGATTCCAAATATAGTGTCTCTCCAAAATGCAGCAATCTATTCAAATTTAAATGTTCTCCCCAGTTGGAATGCTCATTTTGACGATATTGTTGTTCGGGATGAGAATGCAGAAAATATATAATAAATATATGATTATAATATTATATCCATATATATGTGAATTCCTAATATACATTTATACTCCACTTAGTTAAGAAGATAATTTATTTAAGAAATATTTAATAAACTTTATTTCTTATTGAAATGGTATGACAGTATGCTCATAATCTAGCCATCAGCCTAAACCATGAAATTGAGAAATAAAATTAATAGAAACAATGTCCACAAATAAGGCAAGGTACCAAAGTCTCTGATGGTAAATGTTTGCATTAACTCAGAAAACTGAGGAAGCTGCAGCCATGGGTCCTATTCTCCTAGGAGTGTTTCTTTTTGTGGTTGTTGGATCAGGTATGCCATAACTATAATGTAGCGATCTTCTAAATTTTGAATGTCTTATCTAATGGTAATGAGGTGTGATTTCGCGAGTGATAATATAAATTGTTTATTTATAAATTAACAAACAAACAATAGAACCCATAGAAATGTATATATGATCCCCATCCAAGTATACATGAAGACACAGTAACACCATTAGATCAATTGTCTACATTTCATAATGGAATCTTCTAGTAGAATTGAAAAGAGATTAACAAGTAGAACAAGTGTAAATCACAATTAATTCTCGTTTGAAATTGATAGATATAGAAATGATATGTTAAGAAATATTAGCGTGAATAATAGTTCACTCTAAATATAATAATTAGAAAAAGTATTTAGAAGAACACTATAAAATCAAAATTCTGTTTATATCAAAGGATAAGTATTTGCTATTTGACCCACAATATGAAATAGTATAGACATCTGAAACAATTCACTCAAATAATATTTATTAAACCTTTAGTCTTTATTACTATAAAGCTTAAGATCAAATATATACCTATGTAGGATCAATTAACTAAGATAGTAACATAAGTCCAGTCAGTTGAGGAAGCAGAAGGATGATGTTGATTATTAATTCTAAAAATATAAAGTTAGAGTGATTATTTAAGAATAATCTTTTGTGCATCATCCAATATAAAATGAAGATCAATATTGGATGCAAGATATTCTCTGTAGTTTTGGGATGTATAATAAATAATTATATAATTACGAAAATATATGCTTTCCGATCAAATTAAATAGGTGTTGTCAACAAGCTCTTCATCTTTTCTCGCCCCTAGGTTCTCTCGAAAAACTACGCTACTTAAGAAGAAGAACAAAGCTCTTTCGTCTTGCAGTATTGAAGACATCGCTACGTACACTTAATAAAAAAGCTCGCAACAGCCTTCATCCAAGTAACAAATAGTGAGATCGGAATCATAACACAATCCATTAACTCCAGTGGCAACTCCTCAATAGAGCAATTCAGTGAGTTGTCAAACCAACACATCTCTATTCGATGAACAACTCCCTGACATTCCTGCATCTGATCCAATTTGGCTTGAGATTATCCCACAGGAGGTGTTGCAGGGAGCATCAGTAGAATAACTTCTCGAAGACAACAAAGATTACTTCTATTATTTATTGGGATTGTATCTACAGGAATAAATGCATGGAGATTTTAACATGAACAAATTTATGTTGCCAACCAAATGGTAGAGTCAATATGGACGCGATTTTCCACTCAAGTTGAAAGAAAGATAAGAAATTATCAAAAACACTGTCTATGATGATTATAAGTCTCCTTAAACTTCAGAGTTTTCAAAGACCAGCTATAAAAGTCACTTCTCAGCATACCCACCAAAAGATTACAATCCCAAGTTAGAAAGGAGAAAATACGAGAAAAGTGAATTACAATTCGCTACTTTGACAACTTATAAAGTATCATAAATTCCCTAATAGGCCAATCATTTTGATTTCCAAACCAATTTCAAACCTGAAAAAGTAACCGCATCTAAACATTTGACAACAGGAGGTCTCTCACTCTCCAGTTAGTCTCTTTATAAAACAGAATATTAATGGCCTCAACCAATAGAATAACCCACCAATTGTAAAAACATTTATTCAAAATTGTAAAACATTCTCATTATTCTAAATAAGAAATCCAATTCAATCTTCTGGAATCTTCTTCGATAAACAACGAGATGTCTACAGTTAATTCCCTGTTGATCCAATTTGTAAATAGACTCCCTATTCACAAACTCCAACCTATTAGAAATAGTATGTCTCAACAACTAAAAAGTATTATGTGTTATCATTATAAACTAGTGATTTCTAAGGATCAAGACTCGGGGAAGTTACTCAAATGAAAAACTGGAGACAAAGTGTCATTAGGAGAATGAATTAATTGAGAAAACAATCGCAAATATGATCTTTAATTGTCAATATTCATCTAATTTCTTATGAACTTTTGAGAAGGCTGTGCTAGTGTTCAGTCCATCAAACTTGAAGGTGTCTCCCAAGAAGGCCTAAGTGAATCGAGCATCTCTAGGATAGTATTTCTCAATCAACTCAAACGAGGTTGGATTCAACTGTCCATATTACATATTAGATGTTTCATAGATTGGTAGTCCTTTTCTCAATCATGAACTCATACCGACATTGATTCCCTAAGGAGGAGCCTTGTACTCCTACTCGGTGACATGAAACTTCTTTGAAGGCACCTTATTATCTAATTTCCTGCGTTGTTTTTCTTCCTCAGAAATAGGTTGAGATAGTTCAAGGCCAATTGTTTGTGCAACCAGTTTATTTTTGAGTAGTTTCTCAGCTCTTCTAAAGTCCTAAGCTTGTAAATAATGGAATGATCACCTGCATTTGACGTACAATTTCAGCGTAGGTAGGCACAGGACATGATGTCATATCCACCTATTGTTATCCATTGTGTAATAGCCAACCATCACCATATGATTAGTTATTAGTAATGTAATGAGCTGATTGATTTTTATTCATTTTATTAATGAAACATCATGCCAAATTATTAATCCTATGTCCATTTAATTCTATTGGATATTAGCTATTGGATCAGAAAATAGAGGAATACCTCAAAACCAACCAAGAAGAAATAGTTCTCTACTTGGTAGGAACCCCAATCACATATCTTAAAGTCTATGAACAGATTTTATTTCATCTTTATGGGAGAACACAACATTATCCTACTAAATTCAATGTGATTTTCGATCTATTCAACAAGGAATTCAGAAACAAATACCAATTCGATTTGGTAATCAATTTGGGCACTCATTTAGAAGGCGATTTCAATCTACATTTTAAACTCAATCATGAAATTTAAAAAATCCACTTTTCTTAAGAGGGCCATAAAGTAAATCAATATAAAAGAGGTGCTAATGGTGGTACTTTTGATCATTTGCATATTGGACACAAAGTGCTTCTAAGTCTGAGTTTGTTAGCAGTCAGTGAGCATTTGACCATAGGAATAACTGGTGAAATGTTATAACAAAAGAAGAAATTGAAAGGTTTCCTCTAATCCTACAACACTCGTCTCAGATGTGTCTAAGAGTTTTGCTCTATGTTCAGACCTGATATCGATTTGTATTTCTCTGAATTAACTGAACCTGCAGGTCCAACAAGAAATGGACAATACGAAATATTGATTACCACAAAAGAGTGTCAAAATTCCTTAGAGTACATAAATAATCTGAGGAAGCAAGAGAATCTGAATGAATTGGAAGGATACATAATTGGTATGATTGAAAATGAGAATGTTTAAGGAGAGGCTAAAATATCATCAACTTAATATAGAGAATAAATTTCAGAAAGGAATAGATTAACCGAATATGAGTATTTGGAACTCAAGACAGAATGGCTGTCAATAAGTGACAATGCATATTGGTTTGAATCTATTCTAGTGGATTATTATTCGTAACCCTAGAGACACTATCACACTTTAAGACACATCTACGATATGTTAAGATAATTAAAAGGAACCAAGAACATAAGGAATGTTAAATTGGCAACATTCTTCCATGATGCAATATACTACCCTAAAATTCACGATAATGAAGAGAAGAGTTGCTTGTTGTTTTAATAGTTTGCCAAGGAATGCAAGATTGATTCAGAGGTAGTCTCAATTTTCATTTTGTAAACTAAGAGTCATCAAACTGATGTGCCATTCCTACCAGAGGACGATTTGTCAGATCTGATGATATTTTTAGATGCTGATATGTCAATCTTAGAATCTGATGCTTATCCTATTTATGCTCAAGATATAAGAAAGGAGTATTCGCATTTCCCAGATAAGGAGTACAAAACTGGTAGGATTGCTGTGTTGTAGAAGTTCCTGGAGTCTAAGATATATAATTTGAGGAGTGAAGAGAAGGCAAGAAAAAATATTTAAGAGGAGATTGAAATATTATAAAATTGGGTAGTGTGACAATGAATTAATATCATTTATTAAAAAATGATTAAATTTTAAAAATTAGATCAGCCATTAGCCAGTCTAGAAACAGTTAAAGTCACATCTCCTTAGAATAATCGATTTTTTATTGTCCATCCATCGCCAATCGAAATCTAGACTCAAACTCAAAATTTCTTTTGTGGATCCTCAGAATTGCTAAGATAAATACCTCCTCATGATAAAGGACCTAAACTTGATTCTAAAGGGTAGATCATAAGACACACATTAGTTGGTTCTGTCCAACAATTTACGCTTGAAAAATAAAGAAGACAAAGCACAGGCAAGAAACCTTAAGTCAAGTTGTAAACCTAACTACAACCTGAAATCGAGGTTCCACCTATGATTAATAATAGTTACACAAAATGTAAATTTATACTCAATATTCTTAAGTAACTGAATTTATGTCAAGTAAGGATCTTGTCAAAAAATCCCCAAACAAAGTCAAATCTAAAGAATACCAACTGATCTAATTAAATGAGGAATAAGTACAGTAAGAAATAGTTGATGTTGAGAGAAGAGTAAAAATCAATTAAGCTGAAGTAAGACATGCCCCATGATTTAAGACTGCCAAATTGAATCAAGAAATCAAATAGCAGCTCAATAAAGGAGATCAACTTAAAATGGATGCATTTATTAGGGCCATGACAAATTATGAAAACACTCAAACTGATTGGGAATAAACTAAAATTAAGGTGAGCTCTAGAATCTCCAGAAAAACTGGCTAATCCATGAATGACAAGATTGAATAATTCAGAGTCAAATAAGAAGTTAAGTAATTGCTTGATCATATCACGCCCATTGATTAAAAATTAGGCAATGATTATTGGGTAATTTATTGTCTCTATACAGAAATAAGGATTAAGGTCGCAAGAATCAACTCTAAAAAGAAGGAACCCCTACAAGTACATAGACAAATTAGAAGAGGATCCCAATTATCAAATTGACAAAAAGCCTCCGGTTATAGAGATCATCAGAAACTAGAACTCGAGTGCCAAAGGATTTAGACCTTATTCATCATTCACCTCTCGCTTTTATTTGGATAGAAAGTTGAAAGAGAATGAAGAACTTGTTAAGAAACTCATCCCTTAAAATTTAGATGAGATTGATCAACTTTCATTAACTGGATAGAATGTGATGAAATAAGAAATCAACTCTGTCAGAAATCCAAGGGATAGTTTTGTGAAAATCACAGGCTCTTTAGCAAATAGTTAAGGAGGCTTTAAAACATATTTTAAGAAAGTACCAATAAAATAAGAACATCAACAACCTGATGAAGTGATAGTTTAAAATTATGATAAGAAGAAAATGTTAAATACAGGATAATTCGGAAGTTTGAAAGGATATTTTTGAATAAATTTTTATCATAAGTTTCAAGCTTTGACTATTTCTTTTTATATTATATATTATTTTGATAACTGCACTTTGTTAATTGTGATGAGATTAATTATATAATAAATAATATAACTAATCATTTTTAAGATTATGAACTTAAAATAAATCTTATAATCATTTATTTTGAATCTTTTAAAAACTTCTAAATAATTAATTATTGTTATTGTCAACAGTTGCATCAAACTAAAATATAATATAAATAGAATAGGATCCCTCTTATCTTCAACAATTTTACAGTTTTTTTTGGATTTTACTTCAATAGTTCACCCTATAGATTGTTGAACCCTTCTCTAGCTTTATTGAATTAATTATATAGATCTGAGCATTATTATTGAATTTTCTACTTCTCCTTTTAAAGTTCTGAAATCTTTATTTGTTATCATTATAAACTAATCAAATCCCTTGATCTCTTTGTTCCTATATATCAGACTTGAATATGCAACTTGTTCCTTTTTGTTTTCCCCATTAAAAATTCTAAAACTCCTTGGTGATTTTAGACAAATTTAAACTACAAGAATTGATTCTGAAAAGCTTCCTTATCCTCCTATCATTACTTAATCTAGTCATCAATGAATACTTAACAAAATCTTTGTTTAGTTATTATATTAATAATTATATTATAAATTCTCAATTTTGAAGCCTATTAGTAAGATTAATCTCAGATAATACCTAGTATTGTTTAATAACACTTGAATTATTAACAACTGATTCAATCTGTTAACCATATAGTTCCAATCTATTTTGATAATTTTATAACTGTACTTTTTATTTAATTCTGAATTTAAAGTTTGCTGTGTTTACAGCTCACTCTTCAATTAAACTAATTCTGATTTCAAAGTATTTTCTTTTTAACTTAGCTTCTTCTTTGTGTTTGCTAATTCTTCATTCTAACTAATTTGCAATGACTAAACTTCTTGTTCAGTCTTATGCTTTTCCTCTTCCAATAAATTCGAAAGTGTATTAGTGGTATCCTATAATTCACTCTATAATTTGTGAAGATTCAATTCCTTTGCCTAAATCTAAATTCTCAACTATTCAATTGTCTAATCCTTCTCTCTGCTTTGATTCGATAGATTTTTTATCTATCTTTCTGCATTCATTTTTTCTCTCTACAAAGTCGATTAAAGAGATATTAATTTTTACTCTTACTCTGCATTAAGCTCTTTTTCTAATGCTATTTACTCTTCTAATTCCTCTATATATTTTTAGGTTTAAACCTTGATCTATTCATTCTCATTAGTCACTTAATTCAACTTATTCTAAACTCTAAATAATAATAATACTTATGATTAATTATTCAATTGCTTAAACTAAGTTAAAGTTGTCTCATATTATCTCTCTTTCAATTCTATTATTTGATTTAAACTTTAAATTTATTAAGACAATTAATTCATTAAAGCTGATTATTGTTGGTTATAATTGATCAACTCTTACTTTTATTATTCATAATCTCTGTAGTTTTTCTGGATTTAACCTTAATATTCTTCTGATTACTATAAAATCTATTGAAAATTCATAAAAATATAATACATCTTTTTTTAGATTATTTATTATGCTTTATGCTTTTTCTTGATCCTTTTGGTTGTTCTAAAGAAGTTGTTAACTATATTTTTATAACTCATTTAACTGATTTTATTATTCCAATAATTAATTCTTCTAATGATTGATTTAACCTTCTAGGATTTTAATTTAATTATTAAAATCACTCTTCTACTTCTCCATATTTCTGTCATGTGAATTACTTAAATGCCTCTCAGCATTCTGCTAATCTTCTAAATTCTTCTATTCATTTCTAACCATTTTCTATTCCAAAATCTCAAATTAACTTCTTATTGTCTAAGTTTCCTCTTCAAAATTAGCTCTCATCCTCTTATTCTACAACAATAAGGTTTCTATCTCAGTATTCTTGATATCCAATAGACCCTTTAATTTCTCAATTTCTGAATCCATGATCTCTTATTGCGTTAAATACTATTTTTTTAGATTCTCTATTTATCCCTAATAAATAATATCCTATTTCTGTCTCAAACTGTTCACATCCAAAGAAAATTCTGTCTCTTAATCCTACAATCTATTTCTTAAAATATCATTCTCCTTTAGTAGCTAACTCTCAAAGTATTCCTTCTCCTACAAAATTTGATTAAATTTTAATTCCAAACCATCCATCTCTTTATCCCTCATATCTGCATACTCTCTTAACTTTCTTACTTAGTTCTACAAAAGATCTATTTATGTCAGATAACTATGTTTTTGCTATTCACTTTAAACTAAAAATCTTTATGAAATAATGATACTTGAAAAAGTGGTCTTAGTGGCTTCTACTTCTTATGATCTCTCTTTTTCTAATAAATTGTTTCTCTCCTCTAATATCTTTAATTCATTGCTTAACTTTTTCAAATCCAACTCATATTGTGCTTTTACTAAGATTTTTATTAAATAAGTGCATACATTATACTGCGCTATTCAGTTATTGCTCATACTTGGATTTCCACAATTCGCATTCAGTCTTTTTTTAAGCATAACCTTTTTGAAGCTTATCCACATCTTGATTAAGCATTTGATTCTAATGTAAAATGTATTCGGTCTTATCATCTAACGTTCCTTGTTTACTCGTTCTTATCATCATAGCATCCAATTCATTTTTCAGTTATCTAGAATAAATTTCAAGGTCTGCACTTCTGTTCTTGTAATACTCCAATTCTTCATTAAATATTTGCGGATCCGTATTTTACCTATTCTCTTTGATACTTTTAGCAGTGAAAGAGTTTCTGACAGAACCATTTGTATCTATATATTAAGGATATTGCTTTTTGTATTATGGACTTTGTGTGTATAGCTTATCTGATTTCATATGAGGCGATGAATTTAACATATTTGAATTCGTTAAAATAAATAAAAATTAACATCTTCACATTTCATAATTAACTAAACTATTTTCAATTAACTAAAATTATTTTGATGTTCTATCATCAAAACTCCATTGTTTTACATTTGAATTTCAATTTACTTTCATTAGAGTTAATAATTTAATAAAATATTCTTCATTTAGAAATTTTACATTCCTAAGTAAAGTGAAGATCTCTGAAATTATCAATTATAGTAACCAGCTAGAGTCTAAATTTGAACTTAATTCTTAGATTATAAACTTTCTTATACTGTTATATCTTACCTTAAGGTTTAATTATTTTTGTTTTAGAATATGATGCAATATAAATCTTTGTATATTTTTTGTTAATTTTAGTATGAAAAATACTAATTATAGATGCTTAATAAAAATTTGCTAAATATATTGAAATTATTTATTATCAATTTCTCATGATTTTTGTATTCTTACTGGGAGAAGAAGAGTACGTTGTTCAAATTAAACTTCTGGAGAGATTTCATAATCTCCTAGATCTATTTATGATCTAAATAATAAAAAATAAGTAAATATATAGGAAAAATTGTTAGCATTATTTCTTGTTTTGATTATTGAAATCTTTGAAATGTGTTTAATGATAATAAAATTTCAATCCTGTATTATTTTTTTGCACTTTTAAACTTTTTTATGGACCTTTCTTTTTCTTCTATGAATTTCTTTCTCATTATATGGAGCTGGTATAGGTTTGAGGATAGTCCTTCTCTTTTTAACAATTTTCTTCACTTTAATCCTCTAATCGTCGTGCTGTTCAACCATTTCACCATCCTATATTTTTTGTTAATGTTCAACTAAATCATCTTGATCTTATTATAATAGTCGGGTTTAATACTAATTTTATGTAAATATCGTTTAATGGATAAGCTACTTCTTCTGATATCGTTATCTTATATTTTGCTCTAAAGATTATCCTTAACAGTTTATGATGATGAACATAATCAGAAAAACGATAAAATGTTTCATGAAATAAATTAATTAAATCTCAAATTATGGATCATATTTCATCTCTGATTTTGAAATTCGTTAACTCACAAGTTTAATTTTGAATAGCCTAAAGTGTGCACTGATGAAATTTATTGATTGTGCAAAACGACTTTATTTAGTAATTTGACCACTACTTAACTAAAAGGGTTAAAATATAGATAAGTTATGTTTAAGATTTAAATCTAATTTAATGTTGGACAAATATAGTTTATATCAACAAATGATTAATTAAATAAATGAATCTCTGAGAAATCGAAGGTTAAATAGAATGTTTTGTCTCATGTGATCAAATGCTTCAGCCTTTTAAGTTAATGTTCTAATCTTTGATTCTTTTAAATATTATATTAATAAAGATGTCATAATTCAATTAGCAATATTTTTATTTGATTTCAGATATATTTTTGCCATATAATGTTTGGTTATTGAGAGTAATCAAATAATTATTGAAATTTTTGGTTAATTAATGAGGTCATCATTGAGAAAAGAACATCATTAGATAGAATTTATTAATCATCTAACTATCATATAAATAAAGATGAAATCTCTCAGTAAATTAGAAAAACAACTAATATTTAATAAATACTTCATAATACTCATACTTAAATACTAATTATTCAATATAATAAATCAAAGAATTTTTAAATGATAATAGTGTTTATTTATATTAATTGATTGACTATGTGATTATCACAAAAAATTTATCTTAAAATCACAGAGATAATATTTAAAAAATATAAATGTATCATTTAAATCAACATTTAATTAGACAAAATATTTAAACTGTTGAATCTAGGACTATTAAATTCTCAGTCAGCATTAAAATAGTCTTAAATTATCTTAAAAATCTTTCATCAATTAGAAGTATCATAATTTTTACACCAATTTAACCCTAAGAATTATCACCTGAGACTAGTAATAATTGATTACATAAACATTTTGTGAATAAATCTATACTGAAATAGAGAATATATGTTAAAGATAAGAATAAATAATTGTGCGAAACATGCTTGGATATTGGATAATGATTAATCACAATATAAATAATACTAAATTCCAAGGTTTATCTCAATATTTCAATAAAATAAAGTAAATAATAATGAACATTAGGAAATATTGACTTTAACTCTTGATAATATGTATTATTATATATATAGATCAATTATTCTCTTACTTTTTCATTTTATTTTAATTATTTTTCTTTAAATTTATCTCCAATTAGACCAAAGGGGAATCACTTCCCTCCTGATTTTTCTCTAATTTTACTTTTTTTTGTTTTTAACTGCTTTTGTTCAAATTGTAAAGGGATTCTTAGCCTTGTTCTTGTGAAGCTTAAATTTAAGCATCTGTTTTATTTAGACAATGCTCACACTTGCATAGATCATTGCATTTCAAGTTCTGACTGTAACATTCACAATATTTTTTTTTGCATCCAGATTTTTTACAATTACATCCCTTGTGTACGACACTGGAGTTGTCTTTACTTGGTTCTTTTATGGGTTTATCTTAGATGAAATTGAATATACCTTATTAAACGAATTGTGGAGCTCCTTTTGTGGTAAAACATTAAGCAAATGCATCTGAATTTCTTAACAAGGCTTCTTCGATAGCTTTTGATCGTTCTTGAGGGTTATCTATTCTGTTTTTACATTCTTGGCAATTACAACTCTATGAACAAACCTTTTTGTAAATAATAAGGAAATCATATCATACCCCATTGTTGGCAAAGCATTCGCAATATAGTTTGAGACATTTACTTTTTTTACAGTTGCACTAAAAATCAGAAACTTTTTGATATTAGACTAATTGATAGACTTTACTTTGAAGTTCCTTAGAAACTGTATTCTGACATTGTAAACCATCATACATAGGAGGATAGTAACAATAAGGTGGCATCATTTATTACGGAGGTCTAGGTTGATACCATTGTTGAACCATAAACTGTTGTCCAGAGGGGTATTTCATCATCATAGGTTAGGGTGGGTATTTCATTGGATAGAAGCCGAAGGGGTAGGGATTTCGATGTGGATCATCATCCATTTGATCAAAATGGGGAACTTCACCTAATGAATATTTTAGAAATGCTTAGCTACTTTGACCCTTTTTGTCGCTATTGAGATATTTCTAAGGATCATAGTCATTGAAGCCTGATTAAAATGCCGTAATACCTTTGTTTTCTAGATCGAAGTGAGGAGGAATATGGGGAAATAATTATGAATACTGCATAGGAGTAAATCGTGGCGATGGATTCATAGGCCAATCATCTGGATATTCTTGAATTTTCTTATTATTCTCTTATTTCCTGTGGGGCTCATTTGAATTCTCCCTTCAAATAAATTAATTCAATGTCCAATACCTATTATTATCCTCCGAATATGCACACATAAATTAATTTATTTAATCACTCAAGATATTCAAATTAATGATTAATTAAAACTGCTTGATCCCATCAGAATAGATAATCAACTTGCCATCCATCTGGGCTAAGAAAAGGTCTGAGTAGATGACATTTAGATTTTTGTGACCAATTCAAGAATGGATATATTTAGTTTAATTATTGATATTACACAACCAATAGATGATAATTTAATACCTTGTAGAGAGAAATTCAATCATTTATTTAAAATTACAAGTAAAGTTACTACTTTTAAATTACAAATTCTAACTTTATCTCTTTTAATCAGCTAATAGAATAAATCAATCATTAATAATCTAAATTTTTATCGAGTTTAATTATTTTGAATGAACTTTTCAAATTTAATTCAAATGATAACAATTTTATTACCATTTTTAATATTAACTATTTTAAGTATAAATTGTTTAATATTTTAAATCGAATATTTGTAAAAAATTTTAAATTTCCTATTTTGAATTTTTATAATTAAATTAGAAACTTAAATAGTAATTATATAATTGAATAGAATTACTCATTCAAATAAGAATATATTAATAATACAAATCATTAGAATTCTTTAAGAATGCTCAAATCTAATTTTAGGTTCATTTGAATTACTATAAACATTTAATGTATAATCAAATTTTGATATATTATTTCTTTTCTTAAATTCTATCCTAATTTTAAAAATTAATAAAATTTATGTGCATGAATAAATCATATATGTTATCATAATATAAATATCTAAAATATAGAGTGATGATCACATAAATTTAGAAGCTATTTATATTGAATTAATAATTTGATATCACCAATCATCTTTCTGCATAAGATTTCCTTCATTTTCATCCTTTAATTCTAGAATTCTCACAACAGGTACGACGAAAGATTCGATTACAGGTAATATTTCTGAAAATGAGTATTATAATAATCTTACATTCTTCAGTTAAAGTATTATAATTGTCAGGTAGATTAGATTATCTCCATTTTTAATACTATGAGATCTAATCGTCATATTCAAAGCATGCTTTGATCAAGTATTTTAACTAAGCTTCTGACAATATAATCTTTTATTTAGGCAACTAGCCTTTGTATAGAACTGATTTTTCCTAATTCTGCTCAATTGATTGTAATGGTAAAATAGTACCATCACATTAATTATCAGGTATAATCTTAAAAGAACGCTAAGAAAAGCTATCGTCCTTTTCTCTATTCTAAATTCTAGATTATAATTTCCTAAGTTTAAATTTGAGTTCTTCAATCCTTGTATTACTTTCTAAGTTGAAATAACTTAATTTTTATTTCGATAAATGCTTTCCTTCTTCTATTTGCTACATTAATCTAGTGTATTTTAAATAAATGTATTCTGACTATTGTATTAAGTTTGTATAAATACTATGATTTATTTAGAAGAATTTCTTTGGTCAAAATAACTGTGTTATTTCTTGGGTTTCAATTATTCTTAATATTTTTCAATTAGATCTCTAAAATAATTCAATTTTATACTCTTCATTGAACTCCCTATCTTTGATTGGCTTGTGTAAATGAAAGATGCGATAAATAAGAAAACAATGAAATATTAGTCTAACATTATAAGACCAATGAATAAAGAATTTGAAAGCTAGGTTTTCAAAGATCATGTCAGTCAATTCTTTCTTAAGGTCCACTATATTTTAAAATTGTAAAATACCTGGAAATAATAAATAATTGGTGTAGATCAACTCTAAACATTTTGCTATGATTAAAGCATGTTCACTTTGAGATAGAATAATTCTGATTCCTTTTAAAAAGTATTTTTGATCTAAAAACGACGGCATACTTAAATTAAATTGACTTATTTTTTAAAAGCATTTATTTAAAAGATCTAAACAATGAACTACATTGTCAGAATTATATAAACTAACCTTATTGAATAAGATGACAATTATGGTATTTAATAAATTTGTATTTCTGAGTAAATAACATAAAGCAATTTTTAAAGCTTCTGGATAATTGCATATTTCTCTTGATTTTAATTCTAAAAAAAATGCCTTAACAAGTTAAAAGTATCCCGGTAATTAATGATACGGAACATTTTTACTGTTAACTATGTAGGTATTTAGTAAATCACACCATTCTTTGAGAAATAAAAAGAAAGCAATTCCTCTTTTACCTAATCGTTTTTGCCACAATGTTTAATTAATAGTTTCATTCATTTTATGATTATTGGCATAATATTTTGGATCTTTCATAAGATATTCATAGAAGTGCTTATTCCAATCAAAAATATCATTAAATTCTAAATTAGAAATCCCCCCACTTGATTTAGTTAGAGATCTCCACTCTGGTATTTGTTCATCCTCAGCTCTTTAAACACTGGTGATTATTTTATTTCTGAATTCTGGTACTCTGAAATAAGCATTAGCAAAAAAGTTCTCAACAAAAGATCTTTCATTTTGTGCCAATGACTTTTACTTTAGTTTCTCCAAAATAGTGGATAGCCCTTTTTATAAAAAGACTTGATAGCTCAATCCGATGTCCATCTTAAACCTAAATAGTTTTTCATCAGTTTTTTGTGTTTGATCTGAAAATCCCAATTAAGACAGACTGAGTTCTCCTCTATTCATTAGTAGTTTAAGTATAGCATAATATTATTCTCGTAATTGTTCCTATTGTTAATCTGCTGTTTCTAATAGTCTTATTGCGAGATCAATCAATAGTTTTTAAGAATTAAAGAGATCCTATTAAGTTTTATATTCAAAACAAACCATAGATTGTTTATGGCTCAACTTTAAATTTTCAACGATCTGATTGATGTAATCATTTTATTATGTAATTAAATTCTAATCAGGTTCTGACTATAATAATTTTAATAATTGAAATACTTTGCTTAAGATAATATACTGCAAGTCTAATAAACCTTATCCAGCTGAGCTCAACTGTTAAATTTCCTTTATACTGGCTTTAGCTTAATTGATCACTCTGGTTCCTTAGGATACTCCCTTATCAGTTCTAACTCCCACAATTTGCTATTTCAAATGAAATGGCAGGATGATTTCTAAATGATAATTTAGCATTCCTTCTTATACCCCATGGTTCCAAACTCTTCTGTTATTTTGTTTCCAGTCTATTTTATATGATTTTATTCCTTTTTCAATGATCTAAATATTGTATCATTTAATAAGTACGCATTCGGTTTTTTAGGTTAAAGCATAATTTAAATTTACATATGCCTCACATTCTATTTCTTTTTTACCATCCTTAATGATATGCCATAAGGATATTTAAATCGAAGAGGAAGTAATTTCGATTAAAGGTACTTCTACTTCCATTTCTACTTTAGAATCATTCCATACTATTTATTTATTTGATTATAGTGATTGTGGTTTGTGTAATAACTAATTTTAAAATGCAGGTGAATATTCTGAATGAAATTATAATTATGATGTCAGCATCCTTAATTAGAAACAATATTCATTGTGACTTAAAGGTTCCTTCAAGTTGAAATCAATTAACTTTGGAATAAATCTGACAACTAGAATTTGAGCCATTTTGAAATCCAAACTCACTTTTCCGTGTTTTCTTGATCCTGCTTAAGAAAATTCATAATCAATATGAAATGGACCTGTGGCTATTTGATATAGATTCATTTTAAATGCTGATATCTATTCTCCGTTTTCATTTTGTATTTCGACTACAACAAATTTTTATTTTAATTACTCCTCTGTTGTTTATAATTAAAATTTATGAATGTATTTAAACTAAAAATATTATCATTAAATTACATAAAATTACCCTTAGTTTTCTTTCTCGACTTCAGTTTCAAATGTAGAAAAGTGTGATATTATCATTACTACTTTGCAACTTTACTTATCATAATTACTAAACTTTATACAATATCGTCCATTTTCACTTTAATGTTTTCGATAATTACATCAAATCCAAGTTAACCCCTAGTTAACAAAGGAATACTATCAATATCTGTTAATAAATTTTCTCTCTATTTACTAGAGCAGATACCCATCCAAACAAATTTATATTTAAGTTATTTAAAATAAACAATTCATTTAGAATTAGATAAAAATAAGATTAATCATTTTTCAAAATACCTTAAGAAATGCTTTACTTAGATATATCACACTATTAACAATGATATTTGTATGAATTAATATTATTTATATCACAATCTCCCATATATCCATAAGCCACATAAACCACGACAGTAAGACTAACAAAACAAAAATTGAATTATACAACTATATATCATTCAAACAACCAAAGATGTTAACAAATAAATAGGAATAGATATTAGAAAATTCATTTTTAGAAGAATTAAAAAACAACAAATCTGGCTTACAAATTAACCAATCCAAGGTAAAAGTGAGAAATTCAAAATCATTGGGTAAAATATGAAGAGCAATCAGCACATCTGAGAATAATGAAACTGAATACCATTAATAAATAGCCTAAAGAAACATTTTATATATTCAATTTGTCACCTTTTTTCTTATTTATTCAATCAATTTATTGTATAGGTTGAAGGTATGTTGCTTATTTCAACTAGCATTAGACAAAAAACATCATAGTATCAAACTGATTCTTCATCCATTTCAAGTGGATGAATACTCATTTCAGGTTAACATTCTCTTCTAAAGTAATTTAGATTTCAAATTACATATATATATAATTGATTAACAATTTCAAAAGGCTTAAATAAATTTATTATATTATTTATTTGTTTTGTAACATTATTTATTAACAAATAAAACAAAAATTTGAGATCAAACTCATTATATATATATTTAATTATGATCATTTGATATATGATTAATTGATCAAAATACATACTTCTATCGAAATTCTTTTTCAAATAATTTAAGGCAAATCCTAATTCCACATCTCAAGATATACAGTACAGTATTAATAGTTTAAGCAACTTCATTTTTATGATTAGATAGAGTGATTTACTTATAAATTTAGTTAGTATTAAGATTTGATAAGCTATAACTCTGATTTTACTTTTCAAAAAGAAAATAAGTAAACCATCTTCATTCATGTATAGTGGTTGATTTTCTTTATGTTTAATCCTTAAAAATTAGAATTATCCAAAATATGAGAATTCAAAGGTATTGCAATTAAAAAGAGTTACAACTATTCCTAAAATTAATTCAGCTTTTTAATTGGTTTCATGTTAAACTCCATTTACTCTTATTTAGTTATTCCTCTATTTATTGTATTGGGTAATTATGCTAAAATAATAAGAATTTTTATTTCTTAACAGTAAAATAACAAAACTGCTAATAAAGTTAAGAAAATAGAGCCAATAATATTTAAAGAATGTTTTGGACATCATTATTTTTATCATCTTATAAGAACAATATAATTTGTTATTTGAAAATCATTTACACTAATTTTTGACACTGAAAGTTGTAACAATTAAATTATATATCTGATACTAGGCATAATTATTAGAATTCTTTTGTTATAAAAGGCAATGATGATTGTATTTATTATTACTTGAGGTTTCAATACAAAATTAGGTGATATATTATTGACAGGAATAATCAAAAATAATTATTTAAAATCAATTTATCGTTTTATTTAGCTATTTTTGGGAATGGATATTTAAAAAAAATAGTTTTCTTTGAAATTAGAAAATGGATTAAATAAAAGGAAATTAGAAAATTGGGTTGTAGATAGTTTAGAGTGGTTTGAATGAAAAATGAATAGATTTATAATAATAATAGTTTTGATCAAGCTGGGATTATGATTGGATTAACATCGACCAGTTCATAATCATATCTAATTTGATCATATTTTTATTTTTCAACAATCAATCTGCAATTGAAGAGACTCTTAGTTCTTTCGCATTTTCTCTTAGTTGAATCCATTTCAATGTTTTTGAGTTGTTCTTTGGTGGTTTTTCCAGTGATAATGAGAAAGATATGAAATACAAGTAAACCAAAGACTAGCAGTATGCATATTCCAAAGGGAACCATCAAAATAATGATCAGAATTTGCTGAACTTTTTCATCGTTTGTTGCAATGAGGATAACGAAACATAAAAACTCAATTCCAAATGAGATGGCTGCCATAGTAAGGGTGGATATGAAGGATATGAAGTAAGCATAATTACGTTTGCCAATGCAATTGTTAACAAAGGGACAATGATGATCAAATACATCCACACAATTATCACATTCTGCACAATGATTAGAACGAGGAGGTTTCTTAATCATACAAGTAATACAGATTCTAATGTTATAATTACTATTATCAGCTTCGGTTGGTATTAAATGCAGAAGATTCTCGTCTTTCATTTTTTCAATGATGTCTTTTCTAGGTATAATACCCTAAGTTAATAGATATAGTGATTGTTACTGGATCAGTGAATTAAGTTAGAAACAGGAATAGCACACAGCTGAAATACATGACATACGAGATGATTGGGAGAGAGGGATGTAAGACAATCCAAATCTGGGGTGAGATGTAGACAATAAATGGGGCACCAATCAACAGGATTAATATCCATGTAATTAAATTCGTTGTGTGATCTGCGCTCGGTCCTGTCATTAAGCGACCTCGACAAAGGAATCTATTATTCGACGGCCATAGTTAGTATAAGTGCACTAGTTATTATTTGTTTTAATTCATTAAGGAAATTAAGTATTTTAAATTGCAATTTAAGATTATCAATGCATTTTCTATTTCGGAGAGAAGGGTCTATTATATTCCTAAAGTTTCCTATCTGAGTTCTTTACAGACAAAGGCTCTCGTATCTCATGTGGGCCTGACTTTATTGAAGACTATTTCATGAGAGGCTTCTCTTCAACTATCGCATTTAGCACAGAAGCCTTGATCTGAATGGAATGGGGAGGCATAATCTAATTGAAATGAGGAAAGAATCTATTGAATTTGTAGAAACTCAGCATCTTGGTTTACAATGATTGACACTAATTTTGTAGTTTATTTTACTTCCTTATACAACTCCAACAGTTGTTATTTGTTCCCTATCAAACTTGGGTTCTTTTCGATAAGATACTTTACGTCTTTGAGTATGAAAATATAAATGTCCTGAATGTCAAAATAGAGGAACTTAACTAAATGTGCCATCACCGGATTGGTTTCATGATCTTAACTTATTCTTTCTATCAAATGTTACATACTCATTCCGATGTAGCATTAATTCGACAACGTAAAGTAGATCATTAGATCTTCTTAAGGTTTATTGAATTCTTCATTTATCAAAGTGGTTTGAGCAGCCAATTTATATATATAACAGTAATAAGATTGGCATAATTATCCATACACGTTCTCTGAGTCATCTTTGCTCTTGATATTTATTATTAAACGAGTATTGATAATCATTTTTGAGAATTCAGCCCTTGCTACTTAAGAACTGATGATAATATGAACTAATAAGAGCATTTTTAACTTTATGAAGAAATTTTTCTCCTATTATAAGTACTCTCCTACTACTACTAATAATTATTTTAAAAACTAAGACTAAATGGTAATCTATTAATTTACTTTTGATTGATCATTGGCAAAAAAGTGTTTTAATCTCTTGCTTATTTCTGCTTATTATGTAAATTGAGTGTCATTGCTGTTTAATTTTAAATCTTTTAGAGCAGCCAAAATTGGATTATTTGCTTGTCCAGCAGAATTATCATTTATCAATTGTTTTAATTTTGTAATCATATGATTATTTATATTTTCTGTTAAAGAAAATTTATATAATCGATGGGCAAACAGCATCTATCATTCATTAATTATGATTTAAAGTATTCATCATCTTATCTGAAGGATAATATCATTCATCCAACTTATTTTTATGAACATTCCATTATGGAATATAAAATCCTACAGAGATACTCTAGTTACTTAGAATCCAAATTATTTGTCTTATGAATATCTAGGATTTTGATCTTTGATCATTTGAGTTCATTTTAATTGCAATTCCTTAGAATTCGATGACTTAACCAAATTATATATATAATAAATTTATTAGTATCCAAATGATTAAATTTGTATATACATATCCTATCATTGTATTATTGATAGTGTTATTATCTTGTATTAAATGATACAATGTTAGAATGAATCTAAATCTGTATTAAATTAATTAAATAAAGATCAAATTTCAAGTTTTCAATTTTCATTTAGTTCTATCGACTTATGTTTTAATAAAGTTGTTACCTTACACATTATAAGAAATTTAAATATTCCAAAGAATTCTAATAAACTATAAGAGTCTTATCTTTGCAAAATTTTACTAATATTAAAAAGCTAAAAGAAATCTTCATTATTAGAGTAGTCAAAAAGAAGATATATTCTTATAAATAAGATTGATATTAATTCTTTCAAAATTGGATTAATAGCTTAAATTAGATACATAATTTTATTACTAAATTACAAGGCAAATATTCTAATTAGAAAATATGGGAAAAAGATATGAAATATTTATATGAATATAAAGAATATCGATTGATTAATTTTAATATGGCATTAAGCCTTAATGAAAAAAGGATATAAAACTAATAATTACTTTCATATTTATCCAAAGTTATGAGTAATATTAAACTGGTCGTTTTCTTAGAATTCTAGTTCTTCAATATAAAATTATTGACTCTAAAACTGTTACTAGAGTTGATCATTATAATTAATGAGATCTTGCAGTTTTTTTGCTAATATATTAATTTGTTCTTGAAACTAATCGATATTGATCTTGAATTACATGGCCTACTCAATCTTCTTGTTTTGTAGTTACTTGTATAATATTCAATCGAATACTTCTAGCTGCTATTCCATAATATTGCTTTTTCGAATTGCTTCCTAAAGTGTGTATTACATTGTATCTCTTTATTAGATTAGTTCTGAGATTTAATTTTGAAGTTCTTTCAAGGAGGAACTTTGACAAAATGAATTGCCAGGGATTCTTGTAAGATTCTCTTTGCTCGAATGAATAATAAGTTTCTAGCGATCATTGACTTATCCATATAGTTATTTTTCATCAAATCGTTGTGGCACATTTAACTATGATCTGTTGGGAGTTGAATCGAGGCAAAATGATCTCACATTTGTTGGAGTGATGGCCAAACGAGTTCTTGGTATTTAAGCTTAAATAAACATTTCTCTTTTTATTAAAATAACAGTCACTAAATTAAATATATGATCATTCTTATTCATCCTTTATTTCTATCAATCTATTTTATTATCTATCTTGCAATGATTAGTTGTAATTTTCTCTGCTATTCTTGAATTTGTAGGTTGTACTCAAATCCTAGTAGGTAGATTTGGTCTTCCTAGACAAATAGTCAGCTGTTGAAGGCATCTCGATTGAATATTTTATCGGGGTTATTGATTTACAATTATTCAATCTGAGATTCACATACTTTTAAATTGTATTTTGCTTTGGAGTTGGTGTCTGTGTAGGTGCTTCTTTCATTTTGAAGATCTTCACAGACTTAACCTATTTGAATAATTGAGTTGAGTTCAAGAATTGGTTAAGATTTTATTCTTTCCTTTGAAATTGCTTAGATCTCACTCTCGGAATACTAGTCTTCTCCTTGGAGGTAACTTCTTGCATAGCCATTTTCTCTTGATTTTCAACTACAAATATGGCATTACTATATACCCATAACGAAGTAACAATCTAAACAAACAGCGATGGTTTTGTACTTAAATCCTTGAGACTACTTGAACTCTTGGTAGTTTTGAATGTTTATTTGTTCGTGTAATTTCTAGAAAGTCATTGGGATTTAAGAAATGGTATTGACATAGGCAACCTTCTCTTGGTTGGCTCCGCTAAGTTTGACTTGCTTGGCTGATTTCTTGATTTCAAGAGGCCACTTTTCAACAGGAAGTGGATTTTCAGGTAAATCAATTAGGAAGTGATACGGAACTTCGATAAAGTTGGATCCCTTTTCCAATTAGCCACATCGAATGCACTTGTGTTCTCTATTCAATTATAGAGGTCTGGAATTATAGACAGACATCAGATTATCGATTGATTTTGGAATCTTGGTCAGTAGAAGATAATAATACTTTGATTTGAGATTGGGTGTAGAGATCTTTAGGTAGATTTTTGAGATGTTTGTCATCTTCAAATTTGAGATTGCCACAAAAAAGGAACCAACATCTGGCTTTCTTGTCTACTTTGAAATAGAAAGTGCCTTGTGAGATATTCAATTTTCCATAGGAGATGGCATCTAGATGGGAGATCATTTTATCTATTTGTTCAGAGATTCTCTGGGATTAGAAATCTTTGACTTAAGCTTGAATGAACTATGAAGAAGATGATGATACTTGCTTCGCTGAAATATTCAGGTCCTTCAAAAGTGCAATGTCTTTCATAGATGTTCATGGACTTGTTGGTGAATGATTTCTTGCACACTCTTTTGGTGAAGAGAGTGACTGATTTACTCCAGAAGGCTTGGATTTGGGCTATGAAATAATGGATTGCTTATTTACAATTGCGATCGTCTGCTGGTTCAATGAATTGTTAGAGAATGCCAAAAGGTAATTCGAAGTGCCCATCCATAAATTTATTGAATCCTTCAACATCAAAGTATATCACTTGGATTTGGCCACTGATTTGAAACTTTTCTGGAGGGTAATTGAGATCTAAGTTATCACTTGCAAATTAGTAGGGAACAACGCATACATAAAATGTAAAAGATATGCTACAACACCGCCTCTGCCCACTTGCTAATTCCAAGTTTGCTTGATATTTTGTTTGGTAACATTCTTCCTCATCTTCTTTTTGATTTCCCCAGTTTCTTTATCTGTATAATACCAATAGATGGGCATAGAACGAATAAGAATGACAGTGTCAGGAATGAGAATGGCAGGAGGATTAGCAGTTTCCGATTTCACCCACAGGTATTAATAGATTTTGTCATACAAAATATGCTCTTACATACTCTCACTGCTAAACATTTTAAATAATTTTAATATATATTTTATTACATTAATGATTATTATGATAACTAACACTCATTTCTGATGGATAATAATAATGAGGAATTTATTAATAAAATGAATATATCAACTAAAATTTTAGCCATCCCACTTTAATAATATTTTTATGAATCATTCACACAGCAGAAGTCGTAGTCGAAGCAGAGAGAAGTAATTGAGACCCCAAGAGACCTGCTAACATAATCTACAACAAATCAAGAAGGTCTTTATGGATGTAAGAATTCATAATAATCTTAATTCTAGGGTAGACCCAATACCAACCCGGAAGATGTTAGAAAGTATCGCCAAACCAATAGAATCTTCATCAAATCGACCCATAACTTTGTTCCTGATCCCATACTTAGATTCGAAGACGTATACTGTTTCCCCAAGCCATTACAAGAATTAATAGTATAGGCTGGATTTCCAGGTCCAACTCCAATCTAAGCATAAAGTTGGTCCATTGGATTGACTGGCCATGATCTCATAGGCATTGCCCAAACAGGATCAGGCAAAACCTTGGCATTTCTATTGCCAGCCATCATTCACATTTTGGCATAATTGAAATAAAATGCAGATCCATAATGTTTGATTATGGCTCCCACAAGAGAACTTACTCATCAAATTTATGAGCAATTCACTAAATTTTCAGTTGGTTCTGGATTGAAAGCTGCATGCTTATTTGGAGGTTAAGAGAAATTTATATAAAAAAATTAATTGAATTAACATCCTCATATATTGATAGCATGTCCAGGCAGATTAATTGATTTAGTTGAATCAGGAAGTACAACATTGAAAGGAGTCACCTTCTTGGTATTGGATGAAGCAGATAGGATGTTGGATATGGGATTTGAACCATCAATAAGGAAAATTGTGGCTCAAACTAGAGCTGAAAGATAAACGATGCTATTTTCAGCCACTTGGCCAAAAGAAGTCTAATCATTAGCCTTAGATTTCTGTACTCAATAACCAATTCATATCCAGATTGGAAGTCTGGATCTGACTAGCAATAGACAAATTCAATAAAAGGTGGTCATCCTATCTAAAGAACAAAAGGAAGACAAGCTAAAAGAAATATTGAAATCTTTGGGTACTCGAAAGATAATCATCTTCTGTTAGACCAAGATCAAGTGTGATTAATTGCAACTCTATCTGATTCAAGATGGATTAAGATGCAAATCATTACATGGAGATAAGAGACAATCAGAGAGAGATTTTGTAATGAATAGCTTCAAAAAAGGAGACACTACAGTGTTGGTGGCAACTGACGTAGCATCTAGAGGATTAGATATTAAGGATATTGAATTTGTGATTAATTTTGATATGCCAAAAATGATTGAGGATTATGTTCATAGGATTGGCAGAACAGGTATTAATATTAATTAATAATTATTATAGGCAGAGCAGGAGCTTAAGGAGTGTCTATTTCGTTGTTTGATTCCTATGAAGATGCTAAGTTAGCAGGAGATTTGGTTGGAGTGCTCAGGGAATCATAAAATGAAGTACCAGGGGAATTGTCTCGTTTAGCTAATGTGAATAATTAAGGTTATACAAATTATCGTAAGTGGAATGCCCCTTCTGGTAGAATACAGTATTGCAGTTGATCTATATATGTATATTTTTAAGATAAATTGCTTTGTTTATTTTGGAATCCAAGGTTGTCAAATTTTATTCTAAAGATTATAAATATAAATATATGAATAGATTTAAATCTTAATCTAAATTACCACCCAAGTTGAGAACACAACCTATTGATCCTCGGGTATCATATTATGAAATCAAATTACAAGAACTGAGTTCAGAACCTTCTCAAAAATACAAAATGCAATAAAGTATATCGCTCACTCATGAAGGTTTTGTTCGTCAACGGAAAACCATTAGTGATTATAATAAACTCCCCACTCCATTACCTAAAATCTAGAATACTCGAAAATATAATGAAGAATATAGAAATATATTTAGTTAAAGGAATCTAACCAGACTAGTTGGTGGACTACAATAATTGTTGTGATTGCTTATTAAAATTAATGATAAGAATTTTCATCTCTTTCCACCCCAAGTTATTCAAAATTAAACATGCTTATATATCTTGATTCTCAACCAGATATCTAATCTAGTTAAACATCTGTCAACCTATAAAATATTAATAATGATAGTTCAAAAATACCATTCAATTAAACTGAATTCATATAGCCAGCAATCTTCAATTGTTCTCACCTAGATCTTCGGTATCAATATACAAAACCAACGAGACATACAATTTAAGAACACATTTGAGTAGCAATTACTGATGATTTGGATCCTCAAAATTGAGTCTAATTGCTAGATAAAAAATGTGTTTTATGAAGAATTTAATTAAATGAGAATGAAATAATATGTTAGTTATGGCAAGTAACTAAGATTTTAAACAAATCATATCAAAAATTCTGCTTAATAATAAGCAATTACTTCTAAAAGGATTTAGTCTGTTTTGTAGATTATGAATCTATGAATTTATGATTTTTGGAATTAAAAATGGGATTTAAATCCATTATACGATAGTATATATAGATTAAATCTATCAATTAGAAGTTTAATTTTTCTTTAGGAAGAATTCTTTCTATATATACTACATTGTATTGATGAGTGGATTCAAATTATAAGATATACTTAATAAATTTTCATTCTTTTTACTTCTTCTTAACATATAAATCTATAAAACATACTAAATTACTATTAATAGGTTTCAATTAACAATTTTACTACTTATTGAATAATCTTTAAAGTAAAATAAAAAGCATTGAGTTATCTCTCATTTGTTCATTCTCATATAGTAATGAAATTGTTATATAAGTAATTTAATTCCTCATTTTTTATCAAAATCACATACATTGTTAAATAATTGATATAATTTAAAACAATCAATAGAGTTAAAAACAGCATTGCTAATTTTTATTGTATACATCAAAATAAACCTATCTATGGAGTATAACAATACGTTCATAAATGGTTCATCTTAAGATTATATTAATTCTAAATTATTTTTTATTAATATTCAAATTAACTGGTCTAATTTACTTATAATATTTATTATTTTGCATTCTCTCATACAATAAGAGTTCCTTTTATTCCTTAATTATAATCATAAATAAGTTTGATAACCTTTGAATATTAATTCTAATAAATATATTCAAATATACATATAACTCATAAAATAGAGAAATGAAGAATATAATTATATTAGAATTACTTATCATTTCTAAGTGCTAGATATAACTACAAATATGATTGAACTAAAATAAGAACTTAAACATAATAATAGCATTTAATAAATAGATTGAAACTTATCATTATTAACTAAACTCAAGCAAAGTATAATTAAGTTGTTGTAAAACACTAGTCCATATTACCAATTCTTTTGATAGGCACTCTTTATTTATTAAGACTACTGCAAGTATGTTTTGGAGTATATGATTTATTCGAAGGTGATCGGCTGCTACTGTTATGAAATCCTGTTTGATCTCTTGTTATGCGAAATGAATGTTATGTGGTGACAGTTCTTGGTCTTGAAGTATTCTCTGTTTCTACTTTGTTGGTGTATATTGATCTCAGAATTTTATTAAGCGCTCTGTTATTCATAACAGCTTAATCGCACAACTCTGTTAATTAAATCATATCATTCAATTCTTCTTCTTGTTTCCTTAATTTGTATAAGGTTTTGGCTAAGTTTTGAGTTGAAGATGCATAGATGGGTTTCAATTTATTGGATTTCATAATATGGAATTATTATAATGTATAAATGATTTAATCAATTATTTCAATTACTTAAAATAAATGAATCAATGAAATTCTAAGTATAATTTTTAGTTGTTTAAGACTTTCAAGACCAATGAACAAAAAGAATAAAACATATCATATCCCAAAAGTTATTAATTTATTAGAAATCAAAAGTCCAATTCCTATTTACTCTTTAATTATTCCACTTGGTCTGGATCTAACCATTAAGTTCTTTTGCCATCAGCCCAAATACCATATTTTGGTGGTTGATTAGGTAAGTAATAAGCCCCATAACCTTATTACTTGCCTTCAACCCAATTTCCTATGTATCTCCTTCCGTCTGGCCAGAGGAACTGACCTCTTCCATGTTTCAAATCGTCTTAGTAATTCTTAAATTATATTAATTGGTTACTCCAATAAATTAACGACCATCACTCCACTTAATTTCTCCAACTCCATTCATCTTATTCTATTTCCAGTTTCCCTTATACACTCTTCCATCCGACCATTCATAAACCCCATAACCATGGATTTCATTATTGGCAAAAAACCCTGTGTATTTGGATCCATCAGCAAAGTACAGTATTCCATGGCCTTCTTTTCTGCCTTCTTGATATTCTCCTTCGTACCTAGCTCCATCAGGCCAAGTTTCAATTCCCTTTCCTGATTATTTATCATTGAACCACTTATAAATAATATCATAATCATACTTAACCCTCATATCTAGCACCATTAACATGTTAATAAACTCCTACTCCATGAGCTTTATCATCGAGCCATTCTCCTTCATAAACATCACCATCTGCATGAATCAATTTTCCTTTTCCACAGCACCTTCCTTCAACCCATTATCCTTCATAAATTGAACCATCCGGCCATATTTGCTTTCCTTGGCCATCGCGTTTTCCTTTTAACCATTCGCCTTCATAGACTGCTCCTTTGTCAAGTGTTTTTGCGGCTAATTTGATACGAACATCACTCAAGGTATCATCTTATTCAGCTTTTTACACTTTTTGATTAAATTCCAAGTTTTTATTTTTTTTTTTTTAAAAAACTGAATTTTTGTTAGGCTTTTCTTGGAGATCATATTTGGTGATGGGGCCATCATCTTCAAAATGTTTTAGTTTTGAGTTAGGAGTAGGAGTTTATTTATCAGTTTAATTAGATGCTGATTCTTTTTTTTATTTATTTTTCTCATTTTCATTTTGGGACACTTTAGCATTATTTAGAATTTAATCTTCTTTGTTTTTGAGTTTTTTTTTCTCCAATTCTTATTGTTCATGCATGCGATCTTCTTCAAATTTATCTCGTTGTTTTTAGATAGAATGATGAGAGAGTTTACCTTTGGAGTCTTCCATATCAGGATTGCCTTCATCCACATTTATCTCACTTTTCTAATGAGTTCGTAAACCATATTCCTGGTCTTTGTTGCAACAATTTGTTTAGCAAGTACCCATAAAATTATATATATAATCAATTCAAAATTTTAATTGTTTTACTTTTCTGAACATATACGAACTTTTCATCTTTGGAGAGATTACGCCACATGTGTTTGAGTGTTTCTAATCTCTCCTTGAAGCCATATTCAGGATGTTATTTTTTAACTTCCACAATATGATCAAGTTTGAACAATTTGAAAGCACTCTTGTTTTTTTGGTCTTTGGGAGTGAAATGCAAGGGAGGCAGTTCTTCAGGATTGAGACTATTTAGATGAAGATTCAATTACATTTGTTGGTTCTCAGCCCATAATTACCAATCCTTCATAGTTTTTTCACAATCTTGAAAGTGTTTGGTTTAGTTCATTAATTTATGTAATAGTTATTTTGGAAGAAAATTGAAATTGACAGCAGTATGTGATTAATTCAAATTTATAGAGAAACATGGTCGTCCACCAAAGTTAGAGGAGTGTGTTAATTTGGTGTATTTGATTGATCAGAATCGATATTTATACTTTGGAGGCAAGAATCCATTCAATATTAAGGATTTGTAATAGGAAGGTATGCAATAGAATTTACTTGGTAGAGAAGTAGCCATCTCCTCCAAAAAGTGATGGAATATCATTTAAAATAGGGGCACCAAAGTAGACAAGAGTGAGTAGTCCATTTAGTAATCAAGAATGCTAAGATTATGTATACATTTTGGACCCAGCGACATATTCTTGGAGTATCAAGAAATGCACAGGTAAACCTCCTACTAGAAGAACAAGCGCATAAGTTTGGTATGAAGCACCTTTGTTGTATGTGTATGGAGGGATCACATATGAGAATAAAACTGTTAGTGATTTGTACATATTGAATACAGAGAAGTTTGTGTGGAAACGATTCTTTTATTTGGAAGGTCCTCCAGGCAGATTGCATTTTGGATTCTCAACTTAAGGAATGAAGAAATATTTAATGGGTGGAGCAAGTATGCCAGAAAATTTATTGATGGATGATGTATGGTAATTGTCTGTAAGCAATATTGGTAAATAAATTAGTTTGAAAATGTGGCATGGGAAACTCAATCACTGGAGTTACCAGGAATTACTTGGGAGAAACTTCCGTTTGATGATATGCCAGCTATCAAGGCACACACTATGATATAAGTATCAGATAAAGAATTGTTGGTCTATGGAGGATTTAATAAACAAAAATAATGTTAGGATCGTTGTCTTTTATTGGATATCGAGACTTATGATATAAGTTAATTAGAATTGAAAGGGTAATCACCTGGTTAGAGAGCATTTCATGTAAAATATGATAATATTTTAAGGAACTATTGGTTGTTAAGGAGAACTTGTTGTGTTTGTATGGAGGATACAATGTGAATGAGAATTAGTTAAAGAATTCAGATCCTTTGAATGACTTATATCTATTGAATTTGAATGAAGGGTATTGGTCGAAACCCATAGCTGGTGGCTACATTCCAATTCCTAGATTTGGTTATGTGATGTCATGCAATTAAAATGAAGTACATGGAGAAATCATGTTGTTAGGAGGCAGATTGAATGATGGGACTGTTGATTAAAGTATTTATGTTTTGCATGAATTGGACATGGAGGCAAGAGAGGCTTGGGATGAGAAAGATGAGAAGGAGAAGAATAAATATGATACATATAGAGAATTAAAGAAGGAGAGTAAAAATGTTACTGTTCCTACCATGACATTAGTATTTGATGAAGCTGAAAAAATCATATTGGAATAGAAAAGAACCATTGGTGAAAAGGAAAAGGATTTGAAATAATTGTAATAGAACTCGCATTAACTTGAAGAAAGAGCTGAGAAATTGTAAGAGTAAATCGATATTGGAAAATTGAAGATGGATTAAGATCTCGAAAATACAAGAATTGAAATCACTGAACTCAATCAGAAAGCCGATCAAAGTCTTTCAACTATCGATAAGATAATGTAATTATTGGCTTTTGAAAGGAAAAAAAGAAAATTAGTATACAGAAAAGCTCTGGCTTTGGAAGATCTTTATAGAAAGACTTCCTTATACATATTTGAGATGGACAAAGTGTTTGTTAAGGGATAGAGTGAGAATCTTTTGGAAACATCAATAAATGAAGACATCCTGAATCTTATTGATTAGAGAAAACAAGAATATAAAAACATTCTCATATCTTTTCATAAATCCTTTGAAGAGAGATACAAATAAGAAATGCAAGTAAGACAACAAATCAGAAGCAACAAAGACATTCTGAAATAGTTCCATAACATCAACGAAGTGTACAAAAAGACTTTGCTCAAAGAAGACAGAGAATACTTAGACAAGAAAATATGATTTTTCATAATCTAATTCATATATCATTGTTAAGTTCTTATTCCATCTTATATGTTAAGCATAATCCCATTTTCTAGACCAATGCCAAGTAATTTCCTACATCCTATTCTTCATAAACTGCACAACATGATGATGCTGATTACTCCACCAATAATTGAGGAGGTTTTGTCTCTGTAAAATCATACAAACCCACTTATTCCACTTATTTCTACTATATTTAATATCATAACAATACTACATCAATATATGAAATCACCAAGATAGGCCATGTCTTTATGATCGACAACATGCAAATTTAACCAAACGAAACATCCTTAAATAATAGTAACTCTCCTTCTCCTTTTTTATCATAAATCTTTATTTTATCTGCCAAACCCACAAATAATTTGGATTCATTAGTCAATATTTTATTCACTGTCTATTCCAATCCTTCCATTTTGGTTAAATCTCCTGTAGTCTAATTCCAAATTTGAATTTAGTTGTTTCCCCCAATAAACAAGCATTTCCAATCGACATGAAATGCAGTTGCAGGTTCTTGCAACTATATCCTTTTCAACTCCTTCATTGTTTTCAAACACCAAACCTTTGCTATCATTTCTTGTCCTATACTGTATAATTATTCCTCCACTGGACTAACCTAAATTGACAGTATTCCAGGCTTATCAATACTATGACTCCTACTCAAGCCTTCTTTAATTTTGATATTCCTTTCTCCTTCTGTTATTAATTTAAAGATATTCCCTTTTTTGCTGGCTAGGTAAATATATCCAAGTTATTCATACGTATTGAAATATGCTAAATCTGTAAATTCTGCATCATTCTATATAGTAACAATCCCTTGAAGATTTTAATCCTTGCTGGAAATATCAAACATAGAAAACTTAGATCCAACTATCCCACAAATGATATATTAATTCATATAGAGCATTTTAGTAAAATTTAATCCTCCAAGCATAAGTTGGAATTTCTTCTCTTCAGAAAATATCAGTGTCGTCTCTTTTTCTTATTAAATATCATTTTAAGGAGGTACTACAGGTTATCTCTAAATAAATACCTATTTAGTGTGGCATGTTGGAAATAAAAGTATTAGTATTTGATAATTTCTATTATTGTGGCATACCATCATCCATAATCTACATTAAAGATAGAACTTATTATTCATTAAATAAGGGTTAGACCTTATTAAAATGTTAAGTATCATTCTCTGATTCTATGAGATCTTTTGGGAATATGCTTGAAATACTCTTTTATAGAGTGTCATGCAATTGTTGAAATAATTTGGTAAATTTTCTAGTTGCACTTTAAAATTGCTAAACATCAATTTTCATATTAGTAATTGATTCATCTGATAAGGACAATTATTGGGAAGGATCAATTTTCTTGATTGTGAATGAGAACAAGTCAGAATTTGGCATAAAGGATTCAATTTGAGAGAGGAGACTGATAAAATTTTTATGAGATGGTTCTGATTCAAATTGCTATAAGATGAAACAGTAATTTAATAGTGAAGAACCAGAATGAGTCATCTAATGAAGGGACTACTTTGCACTAAATAAATTTGAAATGTACTTACTGTTGAATTGCTTATTTGATTTGATAGAACGTATTATAAAAGAATTTCTGAGATTCAATTAGTGTTGCTTCGATTGAATCAAGATGAAGACTCAGTCTAAATGAAGAAGTGATTCAATACTCTAAATTCTATTATTTCAAAGTTTCTAAATTCTTGGTATCAATTTGATCTTTATACATCTTTATGAATCTGTTTAATGGAATTCTTTTGCAACTCTAATGATCTTATTAGCAATATGAACATAGCAATCGTCGATTTTTGCATTCATGATCTATACAAACAATATTCAGAAACTCAGATTCATGTTCTGCTAATTCACAGGATGAATAATTATGGGGTTTCATTTTAATTAATAATAACTTTAAAGTAATGAAAATAATGAAAATGATAGATTTATATAAATGTTTATCAAGCTTTTGTCTCAATTCTTTTCTTCCTCTATTAATTAGCATAATATATATTGTTTTTAAACTTCTGTTTTAGAAAATTGATATCGTTTGCATTAGTATAATTTCGAGCTGAAGAGACCAATTTAATTTCAGGAAGAGGAGGACAAACTACTTTTGGAGATATTTGTTTCCTCAAAGGAGAATTACTGTGCAATTGTCCATTCATCTCAGTCAGACTTTGACAAGACATGTAACTTAAGAAAGGATTGCTATTTGTCAATTCTTTAGACTATAAAGTTTTCTCTGTTTTTTCATTAACATAACTCTAGATTGAAGCAAAGGGTTTTTTAGATTTTCGAGATATATTTAAAACTACTTTAGGTTATTCAGGTTCGATGACCGATTATCTAATCTTCGTTTTTTTCACTTCCTATGATTACAGGAGAACAGGTTCTTCGATTGGTTATTGGGATTATTAAAGCATTAATAATTAAATCTCGCTGTTCCTTTGATTATTAATACTGTTCTGATTCCCAATATTACGAAGTGTTGTTTAATGTTTAATTAAGATACTCGACATGCGCTTAAAAAGAGTTTTCTTTCTCTCCTTTGTTTTCTGAATCTCAAGCAATAATATTTACTATTGCTAGACACAAGTCTTGGGATATAAGCAATTAAGATGCATCTAATAACACAATTATTAAACTTCATTACTTGCTTCTCTGATAATGGTTCAATCCCACTCTTGCGTCGCTGTTATTTCCTACTATGGTGAACAACTTTGAGATCGAAGCTTTTACTTACTCTATTTTATTCATTCTCCTGAGTCCGTATTCTTAGGCTTCTTAAGATTCTCATCCGACTGATTGGTGACTCACTTTTGGGAATAGAACCAAAGTGACAATGCTAACTGTTACTTGACAGCAGATCGATTACTAAATCATTTAATTTTTGTACTTTTGGTTGCATAGTTTTTGGAAAGGGTTTTATTTAAGGTTCTCTTGCTTCTACATTGGGTTTATTTTGAAGATTCCATTATCAAATTACTTAAAATTATAAATGTTTGAATTAAGCAATCATTATATTGCTATAAGTTATTGATTCCATCTATTATTATTAGTTGATATATATAATAATTGAATCTTCTCTATTAGTAAGAATTATATGTAGAATTCATGAGTTGTTAAACACAGAGATTTTGGTTGAAATCCCACTCTGAAAAAGACACAATATCTGCATTTCAAATGGTTAGGATAATTAGCTTAAATATAAGAAAGAGTAAATAAAATGAATATATTTAGTTGATGTTTGTAATGATGAAGGAATCCCACATATGGGTAACTATGTTTCATCATAGTAGTAAAATCAAAAAGAATTATCAGTTACACTAATTTTTATAAGTAAATAAAATGGAGAAGTCAATATTTATGCGAGTATGAAAGGGGAGTTCATTTATCAGTGGATCTGGATATAATTTGGAAAATCAAAATAATGGTCAAGCCATCAATCTTTCAATATAGGTAAGTATAAAGTAAAGATTAATTCATTTAAACATAAGAGAATCTACATGTAAGAAAGTAGTAATGAAATACTATAAAAGATTAAATTGATTATATCAGAGTTGCACAGAAATATAATTGATTTATGAATGAGAAAATATCTATAACAATTAATGTTGATGAAGAGATTAAGAATAAAGTATAGATAAGATAATGGAAGAGTAATATTAATAAAATAATTATTGATGATGAATACTATTAAATTATTCAATCATTTAACTGGGAATTTGTCTAATTAAAAAGAATTGACAAATCCAACTCTACTTTGGAACTTCCCCTAATGATAACCAACTTATTAAAGTCATTGAGTTTAATTTGCTTAGTTAGAGGATGATAATAGAAGTTTTCAACCTCTCTCTAATTGGTTTTCATTTCTAATTGAGAAATCTTACCAAGTAGTTTGTTGATTTCTTTGTTGTTCCAATCAGATGATATAGCATACTTGGTTCCATTGATTGATCTGGATTCTAAGGATGGATTATATATCTATTTACCTGCGCTATTTGTACTCGATATTAATTTTTTAAATCTATGTTTTAAAGAAAATTCAGTTCGTTTTTGATTATTAGTAATAGGGGACAAACGAATAGATAATTCAGCCCATCTTCTTCCGTGTTAGAGGAGTAGCTATAGGAAGTTTAGATCTTCTTAATCAGTCCATTCGTTTCTAAACATAATGAGATTCAAATCTTACCGATTTATAGATGGGTCTAACTTATTTCCCCAACGTTCTCTACATTATTTGGGAGTACGAATAAACTTATTGAGACTTCGTTCATTTAGTTCTCGTGCGATTTTACTCCATTTGTTCCCCTTCTTCATTCTTTGAAAGGACCTAAAATGAATATAATTGATTACAAAATGATGTCTAAAAGCAATTTATCCTCATTTTCAGACCATGGGTTGTTGTAAGCTGATTGATGGACAAACTACTGACATATTTGGGACCATTTAAGTGGAGTTTTATAGGTTGGCATCAGTTCACTTATATGAATCCATTATTCCTCATTCTAAGAGTTATCACTTGAAAATTACTAATTTTAAGTTTAAGGGAGCTCGCATATTCAAGAGAATGCATTATAAGAAGATCATCTCTTTGGTCTCTCGGTCTTCAATAGTTTGGCCTTATAAATCATAGTAAATAGATTCTAAAATTTTTGGGCTTGGAACATTATTAAAAAGGAGCCTCCATTTTTTTTTGTATGGTTTTAAATCAATGGCTTGTATTTGCACAAAGTTTAATTTGGAATTCAGAGGATGGGATGATTCCTCTGTTGATTGTTAATAAGATTGAATATGAAGGAAGCTCATATTCCAAATATTTTTTCAATAATCAAATTTATCGCTTTGGAATTGCGAGAATATAAAACCCAGAAATTTACATATCTTTCTCATTTTTTAATCGGATTTAATATAATAAATATATATTGCTTTGATATCACAATTTGATCAAACACCCATTCTTAATGATCACTAAGCAAAACTCATGATCAGAACCCAAAAATTCACAAAAAGAATATTCTTGAGTCTGACACTTTCTGGTTTTCTCTTAGAGTAGTTCAATTTTGTATCCAATCATCTCAGCTTCCATGGTACTCCAATATGGACAAATCTATACATCACTAGATCTTTTGGCCTTCTGACCTGATAAATCAATAAAACTAGATACCATAATATTTTTTGAGTTATTTGAATTTGTGTTTCAAAGCAAATTCAGTCCTCCTTCTATATTTAGTAATCATTGACAATTTTATAGATATTTCAGCCCATTTGCGTCCATTCTGAAGTAGCAATTATAGAAAGTTTAACTCTTCAGACTTCGACCATGGTTCTCTTTAATGTGATATTAATACAATTACCTGTTAATTTGTGGATCCAATTTATTGTTCCATCGTTCACGACATTATTTTGCATTTCTTTAAATTTCAGACTTGCAAATCAGATTGTATTAATTAGAAATTGCACTCCATTTCTTTTTACAACGACTAGGATTATCTCTAATATAAATGAGTTAAATAATACAAAATGATTTATAATAGGGTTTTATCTTCGAAACAAGACCAGGGCTGTCTTGGAAGTAATGCTTTATAGAAAGATTAGAATTTAAAGCACAATTCTGACAGACTCCTGTGTTTCGGCATCAGCTTCTGCACTTTCTCCCAATCAAACCGATTCTATATATAAATAATCGGTACTACCTTTATGCATCTTGGATTGAGACTCAAAACTATAAGTTATAAGAAGAGCTCTTCATTCACACTCCAAGTATCATTCGATCCAATCTTAGAAGACTCATAAAGTTTGATAAAGTCATTAAAATCAGGTATAGTTTTGAAATGTAGTTTGAGCTTTGAAGATAATTTCTCTGGTTCAATTAGTTAGAGATTCTAGTAAAATAAAGCCCAATTATTAAGATCTGTAAATGAGCTTTGTGAAGAATTCATTTTGTTTTATAAGATTAATATTGTTTATCTAAAATCTAGACTAGAAATTTAAACACAGAAATCTAATTAAATTAAGACTTAATATCCTTAATACTACAAATAATAAATTAATAAAGCTCTCTATTAAGATTCTGCTTAATTTCCATATAATTACCAAACCTCTTAATTACATATAAGATATACATCCCAAACAACAAATCAAAATTTTATTTTCAGCGATAATAAACAAGTAAAACTAACTTAGAAATAACTATTCAACCCTCCTTTACTAATTATTTAAAATATTAATAATTAACTATAAAATCATTATAAACATTAATATTATAACATCTCATTTTCTATTCTTAAATCTAATTTACTCTTTCAACAATTCAACCCATCATTTCAATATGTTTGATTTTAATTTACTCACTCCACTTGTAAAATTCTCTAATTATAAATACATACTCTACTTTTATCCTACATTTAAATGCCTATTTAATACATCTTTTAATTAAGTTTTCCGCTATCTCTCAATTTATATGATTCCTATCGTTTAATTCTATTATCTTTAATGACTTCGCAGTCCCCCTGGTCTATTATATAAATTTTTGTCATTTTTTATAAATATTTAGTGAATATAATCTACGCATTCTCCTTCACGAGTTCTTAACTTCTCTCTTCTCCTATCTAATTTGGTGCTGAAACTCGAAATCGTATTTCTATTAAAATATTACTTCTTAATAAATTTTAGCCAGTCAATTTTAGTTTTTTAAGGAACGCTGACATTTTCATTAGGGATTTCCCAGGAATATGAGATAAAGGAAATGAAAGTTGAAGTATTAATACAATATTTCAGTATAGACATACTTGTTATATTAACATTTTAACTTAAAAATCAAAAGATGGTTTGCTTAACAATTATAATTTTAGTATTTGTTCGAGAGAGCCTGATTGTCTTATTAACAGTTATCGAAATTTTATATGGAGAACAACCCTTATTTTAAATATCAAATTGATTATCTTCTGAATTTAGTAAATATAATTCTTATGATTCTTATATTAAACAAATAATATTATATAAATAGGAAACTGTAAAGTAAAATTAACAATAAAATTATTTATTTAGTATTATTTATAAAATAATTAAACTCCATTGTTTATTAAGATAATCTTATTTTAAATCAGTTCCAATTAGTATTAGAGTGATGATTAATAATTACTGTTTTAAATTAAAATTAATTATCTTTTATATACAATGACTAACTGCATAGGTCCCAAAGTTAAGTTTGAATTACTGCAAAACAAAAAAACTTAGTTTCCTTACACATATGACTATGAATATTAAGATTCTATGCAATAACTGGTGGAAAAGAGAGTGAGTTTTGCAGATTCTTCTATAGTATTCTTGCATTACTCAGAAGAAGAAATAGTTAATTTCAGGTAGAGACTGAGAGCCCAGCTACAATAAGAAGAAATAGGGCCTGTATCCTTAAATCCTTCTTTATATGATTCAAGTTTATAAAATAAGACAAGATCATGCTTTAAACCAGTTGAGAATTGATTACTATTTATGTATTCTTTATAGTTATAAGAACTTCAGTAACATTTATAATAATTTAATTAGTAAATGATCATCAAACCAGCATCCTTTTGATCAAATTAAAGTTTTTAGACAGTACCTGCACTTTGTTTAATACTTTTTCTTAGAGGATCAATTCCCAATCATTCAACCATCTATTTAAATAATTAACAAATATATACTAAAATATTTCTTTATGAACTTCTAAATCTTTACAATTTCGATTTTCTAATATTCTTGAGCGCACATGTTAATTTAATTTGTCAATTAAAGGTTAAAATAGCACCTCAATTTTATCTTAAATGTAATCAAAATAATAAAGAATTCTGTTTGCAAGCTCAAAATTAGATTATACATCTAAATCTTTAATAAAACGCCCCATTTTTGTTATAATTTATTTTTCAAGAATCAGATTCCATTAAGTACCCTAAAGTTTCGACCATGGAGATAAAATACTAAAACCAAAGTCAGGTTAATCTCCTAAATCAATATCCATCAGTTTGTCAATCAACTGATCTGATAAATCTTAGTTGCTGAACTAAGAGTCGATCCAAGGAAGTAAGACTTTGTGAAGTTAAATTGAATTATCTCTATTATTCCAATTTGAAATAGTTGATTTTAATTTTGGAATCACAAGATTACTTAATTTTGAAATAGTCTTTGAATTAAACAATTGTATTCTTTCTTCAATCTAATCACTCTCTATAGATACTATATCAGTACTCCATAATTTAAGCATTTCAAATAATAAATTTTCTTTCTTTGGATCATAGTGTGTACATATATAATATTCCAATTGTTATGAGATCGGATGAATTAGGATGTCTATAATATTTTGAAGATTTATTATATTTGTTGCAGCCATCATGTTATCATCAAAAATTGAATCTTGATGATTTGAAGAAATGGCTTAAGATTTCAAATAGATTATAACATCTTTGCCTAGATTCACAATTTTATAAATTAACTTGAATTCATTTTCAAGAATATCTGTTTTTGGTCCTTCCCAACTTTTTGATATTTATGCTATTTCCTATCCTCCTTGTTAAATTAATACGTCAATTAGATTAAACTAAATAAATAAATCAGGATGTTTATTAAAGCAATCTGAAAACTTCTGAAATAAAGTAAAAGATTGGTCTTATATTTTGATATCATCTTCTTAAAAAAAGAGAAGATATTTTTTAAATGATTAGTTTTTTTTTGTAATTTCCATATGCTTTTCTAACTTATTGAGTGTTTTCTCCTTTTTATTCTCGATTGAGATGTTTTATTATTCATTCATTTATTTTGTAAGTAGTAAATGTTACACAGATTAAGTCAATTCTGATACTTCCCCTAAATATCCTAGATCAGCATTAACTTTAGATTGTATTATAGCGGGTTCCTAATCTTGCTAGATATCGATCTAGTTCCTTTTTCTCCATAATTTATGTAATTTTCTTGCATTTTTATTCTCTTTTTGGTTATCATACTACCAAATCAAATCCTCCTCATTAACCTTATTGTGATTTTATAATGAACCTGTAAACACTTGCTTTTTCACAGGGATTACAGGTTCTAAGATACCTTGTCTATTAATTCCTAGCCCTTCACCATATTTGAATCCTAATTTTTAGAGTAATTATAATCCAACTCCATAATCATGTTCTTTAACCTTCTTCTCTAAGTTTCTTATTTCTCTAGAAGTTAAACCTTTATTTTAAAAATAATCTCCCTCATCATCTGCTTCATGTTTAAATTCTTGCATTTGTTTTTTCAATATACTCCTTGGTTATTAAGCTAACTCGTTAACTACTATTTCTATAATGGAATGTTGCTCTTCAATTTAATCTTCATCCTTTTCAGATGTTGAATCGAATCTATTTTATATTGCATATTTTTGTATTCTTCTTGAGAGATTAAACTTTTCTTTCTAAGATAGATATTCATTGGGATGTTTTACTATTGCGTAGATGCAATTGTTTAGAAGGTTGAATTGAACCGACTTAACATTCTTCATATTTTCATCTCTATTCTATTCTTAAATATGATGTTTGATCATTTTAATGGTCACTCCCTTTTCGACTTGAAAGGGTGGAGATGTATGATGCTTTATAAAGTTACTAAATGCTTGGTTCTTACGAAACACTTTATGGGTGTCTGATAATTGAATAGGAGGATCATCCTATTAATAGTTGATATTTTATTCTTCAGAGAGGGTCGATTATGATTCTTGATTCTGTTTACTTAATTCTTCCTATTTACTATCAATTTCGAATAACAAAGGAAACAAACCATTCATTGAAATAATTAAATCTTTATAAATAATTTGATAATCTTCTTATTCTTGAACCAGTTCAACTCTCAGATTTCAAGGTCTACATGAGCTTATTGCAATAAGCTGATTGGAATTAGATAAAAAATTGTTTATTTGAAATAGATAAATGTATAAAACTTAATTTAAATGTTTTATTGTTAATAAGTTGTTAATTAATTTAAATTATGAAGAGAAAACTTTAAAAATTGTCTTTGTTTAAAGAAATTGATGAGTTTAATCAAAGGGATAGTGATGGACATTTGAGTGATGACTCCTCTACGTCTGATGACTTTTTGAATTCTACATTTGAAGCATATGGTAACAACTTTTGATGATTAGACTTAGAGTCTCAAATATTTATAAGCAGCAATCAAACTCCTATTCATTCTGAGCAATTACAATTCATATAAGGAGTATTCGATAAATCAGAAGAAAGTGAGCAATCATTTTATTTCAATATTACTAATGTAACAAATCAAAATTATTATAGATTGAAGGAGATAACAGAACAACTTTGATGATGAGAAATATTCCTCAAAATTATACAAAAGAAATGCTAATCATGGAAATTGATCCAAAATTCAAAAATAAATTTGATTATTTCAATTTACCTTTTGATGGAACTGCTAATCCTGGCTATGCATTCATCAATCTCAAATCGAAGTCTTATCTTAAAGACTTTTACAACTATTTTAATGGCAGAAAATGGAAGACAAATCCACACAATAAAGTAACTAAATTCAATTATAGCATTAGCCTTGCTATTTAAAATATGCCAAAATATAACATAAGAAATTTAAATAAATAAATCCATAAATATATTTACAACAAAGCAGTGTTATCAAACTTATTTAAAGTTAGAAATTATAATGCAGTTTGTGAATTATATTAATACTTTTTCTCATTATAATTAATAATTTTATTTCATATTTATTAATATTTAACTCTATTCAAAACTCACTTTTCTTAGAGCCATAAAGGGTGTTTATAAACCAAGGGTTTATTTGTTATTGAACTAGATGATATATAAATCTCCAAATCATCAGGGTGGGTGACCTTGTAATCCAATAATTTAATGGCCTCCTAATGGAGTTCCTTCTTATTCAATTAAATCCCTTAATAATAATTTGCATGTAATTCATTTAGTTTCTTCTCATTCTTGAATATTTTTTCTCTCCTTAAAAATTTATCAATTTTAAGAACATCCTATCTGTTTATTTCTTTATTTTACATTATATTTATTAATTTCATGATTAACCAAATAATCCTACATTTGTTGTATTCACAAATAAAAATATTATTCTTGAATTTCATTCTAATCCGCAAACCTATGATGCATTCAAATAAAATTATTATTGGGTGAAATTTTAAGTCCAAACTTAATAAAAACTAAATACTATCAATTTATAATTTTAAATCTCTTTTGTGTTTATTGATATTCTATCTCAGTGAGTTAAATGGATATAAAAATAAATTATGACATGTAGCTATTACTTTAAATACTATAAATCTATTCATTTCTTTTATTAATAATTGCACCTTTAAATAAAAAGACAAAATGATATTAAATCATCAATTTTTGATAGATATTCAATATATTTCTGTTTCACGATTAACTTTTAAAGGATATTATGTTCTGATTAGTACTCATTTATAAGAATAAGAAATTGCTATTGTTTGTATTAAAAAGGATGAAAACTCAAAAATATATTGATGATATTTAGCATAATTTAGGATAGATATATTAAAAATTTAAAATTCGTATTTATTTTAATGTTTAGATACTCAATTTAACTGAAGCCTTTCTCTTAAATATTCTTTAAGGGTTACAATTTTATCCTAAATGTGATCTGATATTCTGGAAATTAAATCTTAACTCTAAACTCTGGATTAGGTTTCCATCTAATATATGTCTTGTTATTATCTACACCATTAGTCTTATCCTTCCAAGTTACTCTTTAATTTAAATTATTTATTACTTAGTTTCTTTCAACTTCAGCCGCATGATACTCAACCTTGCCTTCTGACTCTTCAATGATACTTTAATAATTTAAGATAGCTTATTCTAAATTTTACCTTTAGTCTGACCTATTATAAGAATAGCGATAAGAAATTACAAAGTGTTTTTCTCATTTGTTAAATCTGCTAAGAATTATTACCAATTAAGACTTTATTATTTCTCGATTGATTCATCATTTCCTTTACTTTCGACAATTTGAACTCTTAGGTTGGCCAATAATTATAAGACTTTCTTTGCAGTGTCTGAATCAGATTTTGATGATAATTAGGTCATCATTGTAAGGATTGGTTAAAATAATAATCCAGTTGATTAACTAATATGAATGAGATGGAACTTTACTTTTACAATCTCTACAAGACTTTGTTAAATCTTCCCTTAACTTAAATAAAGGATGATCCACTTGATAAATGTTCAATTAATGCATATGCTTCATCAATTGCAGCAATTGCTTCTGTATGAACTTTGATTTTAGATTAAAATTCAGCATATTGTAAATCTCTTTCGCTCTACCCTGCATTTGTATTCTTGGTGTTCTCTTCAATCTCAACTGAGACCTCTGCAATTTTATTAAGAGATCTTTAAAGATTATTTGTATTTTCCTAATTTATTGATATATGATTAACCTCAACAATTTTCTAATGAGCCTTCAATTAACTCTAATGATAAGCTAAATTTGTTGAAAAATCGTGTAACAATCTATTGCATGATGCCTATGTGCTTTAAATATAGAGGTCAGCATCCTTTTATTCTTATTCCAACATAAATCTACAATCATGATTATTTTATACCTAATATTGTTTATGTAGCTCTAAATTTCATGCACAGGTGAACCTGTTGCCAAACTAATTTGGATTGCATTCAAGAATGTTTTACCCATATGATGATCATCTATTTCTGCCAACACAATCTTTGGATCTGTCCCCATTTTACATAATGCCTATCATCCTATAACAATAATACCATGCTCAATAGAACTAATAATACAATTCTCATTTTATATTAATATTAAAAACGAATACAAATTATATTTAATATCATTTTTATTTAAGATTATGTAAAACAATCATTAAATTGATATTCAATCTCTTAATACTTTACTATTATCCATCATGCATTTTATAATTAATATTTAGAATTTCTAAATTTATTAGTTAGCAATCAACCTTCAATTATTTAATGTATAAAATAAAATTAATATTAATAAAAAATTTTGATAGGTTTATCATCAATAATGCATACATATCAGAGTTGAATAGTTAGATATAATGATTTTAAAATTATGCTTTGATTTTAATTAAACATTTTCATTCCAGTTTTATTTAGAAACAATTGTTTATTTAATAAATTGAGTAATAAACCAAAACTGTTTTTGATCAAAACGTAATTGAAAATTTATGATCCTGTAAAATTTAGAGATTTTCTTATTATTAATTATATAAATACTTCATATTATGGTAATTAGGTTATAACTCCTTTATTTAGAAGATAAATGAATAATATAATTATTAGAATTCTCAATTGAAATGGATCTTAATAGAATATCATCATAGACTTATATGTTATCTATCTTAGAAGGTAATTAGAGGATGCATGAATTACACTTTATCTTATTTAAGTATTATTGATTAATTTGCTGGGACATTTACATTATCATAATAATCCGTCTTAATGAGAACAGTGATCTTAATAGTTATCTTGATAGGGATAGTTCAATCAGCACAGCATCTGAGACAAAAGCAGAGTCATATATTGAATGGACAGAAATTAGCTTTGATAGAAAAATAAGTGCAATATATTGATGATGATGTTGAATTGAATGGACAACAAGAAATTCAATAAGAAGGATTTTAAGAAATCAATGTTCATGAATAAATGTAAGTTCAAATAGAGGAAGAAGCAGTAATATAAATAGATGAAGAATAAACATTAACCGCTGAATAAATGGAAGAGTTAGATAGAAAAGAATAAGAAGAATATGAGAGAATGAAGAGATAAACACTTGAAGAATAACATCTAAATGATGAAGACACTTATATGTAGAGTTAATAGAATGAAAGCAAAAAAGACAATCAATATGATCCTGAAAGCGAAATGCCTGTAGATGTAGTTGAACACCAACTCACTCCAGTTATTTAAAAGGATCCAATCCCTGATCAAAAGGGAGTTATTTCTCCATTTGCTCCTGCAGATAACAGTTTACCATATTCATCATATGATAGTGAAAGTGGATTCGAGGTTAAGGAGAGTGATATCAAAATGTAGGGATCAATCAGTCCTAACGATTTGGATCAATATTTGCAAGAGCAATATCAAAAAGAGATGGAATAATTTGCAAATGTCCCCATGTGAAAATATAAAATAATTATAACAATAATTCAATCCATCTCTATCTATAAAATTGACATTATAAATATGGTTAAACTTCTTTATTATAATTTGTAAACAATAGAGTAAATTTCTAAAGTGCCTAGTAACATTGGAAGCCAAGAAAATTTTCTATTCTTTTAAATTCAATCCTGAAATGAACCTCCTATTGAAGAATTAGATCATTGAGTTGTTCATAAAGGAAAGACTTTTCAACAGATTACAGAAAATAATTGACTGGCATACAAAATTAAGCTATTTTTTTTCTGCAAAAGTCATCTGAATGTGTTGAGTAAAATTATTATCTTTAAAGTACATCAAATTCTTAACTTTGTGTGTGTTCAAAATTTCCACCTTTTCTATTAGGATAACTATCCTACTATTCATAATTCCATTTTATAATCAATTCCTTAATAGCAACAATATAAGGGTCTCGACAATTTTATAGGGTAAATTGATCAAATTTTTGGATATCACTATATTTATCTAGAATTTTAATAAAAGAATTTACTTAGAGCACTTAAATGAAATGTCATTTCTCATATATCAACCATTTTATAGATTACATTATTTGATTTTTTATTGAAAGGGCAGTAATATTGTTGGATTAAGTAGAATCCATTAAGATTTCTCTTATAAAATATTGCTGTCTTTATCATTAATGGAGTCGTAATTATATGTACGGATATTGAGTGAATAAATATACATATATTTACAAATTAAAAGAAATCTTTATTCAATGAATTATTTATTAAAATTTTTTTAATTTATATTTCAACAAAATAAAGCATGTCTGGCTATGATATAAATCTATTCCAACCTAAACCTGAGCATCACTATATTTGTTTAGTTTGCAATAAAATTGTAAAGGACCCACAAGAGTGCGGTTAATGTGGTTAAATGTACTGCAATGTATGTGTAACCCAAAAGCCCACTTGTAAGAGTCCTTCTTGCCAAAAAGTAATGCCTCAACAATATAACAAAATTTAAGGAGCAATGCTCAAAGCTTATAAGAATTTAACATTAAGTTGCCCAAATGTCTCATGCAAAAAAATTTTCACAATTGTAGATTTTGAGTAACATCAAACAGAATGTGTGAAATCTAAATGTCAAAATTATGATGTATGCAATGAATTTATAACATAAGAGAAAAATATGTAATTCTATAAACATATTTTAGTTCATCATTATATTGCAGTGTTATTTGTGAATGTACTGATTAATTACATAATAATGCAGGAGTTTCCAAGAAATAATTTGAGATTATTAAACAGTATGTAACTCAGTTATCAAATTCACCATCTCAAATTTAGAGTATATAAACTTAAAATATTCAATAACAACCTATTGTAATGGGTAATGGAGGTATTGTTTTTAAATGGGACAAAAATAAATGTGGATAAAGTATTTAATTGTCGAATGATAATGCTTCTTTGTTTTTGAAAGAAAACTCACACATTTTCAGATCGGTGTTGGGAGATATTGTAATTTTTAATATTTTATGAAGCCTTTTGAAAGGGGGATTCATTATTGGGAAATTGAAGGAGATAGTAGAACAGAAAACGAATTAAAAATTGGTGTTGTTGTAGGAAATAACATAAATTTAAATGCTGCATTTTGTGACTTTCCTCAAGGATTTGCATACTATGGATTATCATAATTAAGAAATGGACAAACTAATAGTGGTTAATCGTATGGGAAAAAATTCAAAAACGAAGGTGTTCTAGGTGTCTGTCTAAATATGAATAATGGTAATTGATATCATAAATAACTTTAGGAACTCTGTCCTTCTAATTAAACAATGATTATATGGGCATTGCGTTTAGATCAGAGTTGCTAAAAAAAGGGCCAATCTATGCTGCAGTTGCTGTGTTACATTGTGGTGGATGTACAGTAAGATCTGGAAAACCAGTACCTAAATATATGGAATGATATTTATTCAAACTCTTTTTAGCAGTCAACTTGTATTTTCGATATATTTTTTATTATAACATTATATAATTAAGTTTATAAATTGAGATGTTCTGAATACATTTCGCAATTTCTAACAATGAAGCCGATTTATTAATAGTCCTTTTTGAATTATTGATTGATATGATAATTAAAGGGAGAATATTATCAATAACATTTTTGGTTTTACAGCCTTTGAAAAGACTTTTTGTTTCTTAGAAATTAAACGATCTTATCAAGTGTGCTTCTTCAGCTTTCTAAGTAAATATAAATTGTTTAAAATCAGTCTTGAAAAAATGTGATTTTATTTTTTATAGAATTAAATTGAAAATACAAACTTTGAATTATTTATTAGTGATTAGACTTCTAAATATGCTTTTATATCCTCTAATAAAAGGAATAAATTAATATTATCAATGGCGCTAATGGCTTGTCTGATTGCATATATTATCTCAGGATATTATTTTTATAGATGAACTTTGGGATATTAATAAATCGTTTGCTAAATCGATGCATTGAAATAAATTATTATGACTGGTATTTCAAGAGTGATTCTTGAGTTTACTCAATAGGTTGGGTTTGTAGTCTATTCATTGCTTTAATGTATGCTGTTATTATTCATTATTCATTAAGACAGTATTTAATCAATTATAATACGTTTAGATACATTCTAAATTTATTTTATTCATAATAGAGTCGACATTAAGAAGTAAATCATTTCATTCCCAATACATTTTCCTATTATTAATCCTTTTATATTTATCTTTGGTATTATTAAAATTAAATTTTTTGATCCATTATGATCGATAGGACAGAATTAATGGATTATAAAAATTAATCTATCAATTACACAAGAAATTCCCTGTAAGTATGAAATAATGCTTGTTTTCAATTTACAGGATTAGGAGCTGTAATAACAGGGTTGCTAGTTAGTGTTGTGAAAACCGAGGGTTCCTATGAGGAAGGCCTCTTTAGTAAGTGAAAGATAAGGCTTACTAAAAAATAGATTACTCTCAGTATTTCTTCTATTTATAATTTTGATTCCTTTTATATATATTAAGTCGAATAGTTTAGTAGTTCTATTAATATGAAAATTATTGAATAAATAAATGATATTAGATTATTCGAATATTATTAGGAGTTGCGATAAATCATAATTTGGTAATTCCATATCTTTTAAGAAGATTAAATTTACAAACACCAGTTCATTTTCTATTTTTAAGTAAAAGATAGTAATTTTTGTAGGGCGATGGTTTGTAGTAATAAGTAAATTAATATAATTATTCATATAATTGAAATAAAGTATTTGAAATATGCTTTGATTAATTTAATCTATTGTAAATGGACGCTGAAGTCACAATCTTTGATAAAATCGTTTAAGGTTAAATAATAGCAAACATCATTTATGAGGATAATCTAGTAATATTTATACTTATCTAGTGCCTTGCTTTTCATGATGTTATCCCTTAGTCTCCTGTGCATATTCTCTTAATTCCAAAATAGAGAAATGGTTTGACTTAATTATCTAAGGCTCAAGAACATAATAAAGAAGTCTTAGGCCATTTATTATTCACGGTGTCTAAAATAGTAGAATTAGTGAATGAATTTAATAGAGGATTCAGAGTTGTCATTAACGATGGTGAGAATGGAGGTCAAGGTGTATGGCATCTTCATCTACACATTATTGGAGGAGAATAATTAACCTGGCCTCCAGGATCAATTGGAAGCTCGAAAAAGTGAAGATGGTTAAAATAATAATAATATTTTTATACTTTATGGATCAGAATCTTAACACTCTGTCTTGAACGTACAACATTTCATATCTTGTATTGTAATCCATGTCTCCAGATGGTTTGCATGCCAAGTCCCAATATGATGTATTAAACACCTATTCATTAGATATTATTGAATACTTAGCAGGGATCTCCTAACAAAAATGTATTCCAAATAAGAATGTAAGCAAATAACACCCAACCACTTCTGTACATTAAGTTCATGGCCATCACGTGCATCTTGTAAGTATAACTGTGATCCTCTTCCATTCCAATACTGTCACCTGCTTATCTCAAAACTAATGTTTTGAATAATCCTCTTTAACTTAAATTAGAATATTTACTGTCTTCCAATCCCATGATAATATCCGGTTTAATAAGTGGCTAACAATTTTGGATCAAATCTATTAATATATTAATAGTAAGCATGTTTGGAACAGGTTTTGTAAAATCTCTTCTCCATTATTTAATATTATTATTATATATAATTTTATTTACGATTGATAATATAATCTCAATCTTTCTTCTTCTTACCTTCTTTCTTACTTTAGCCACTCCTGCTAGTGATTCCTTTATTTTCAATTGGCTTCAAATCACCTTAGCTCCTTTGATTCTCATTCTAAATTGACTTATCATCATTCAAGATTTCCCTTTCACCCCAGTACCAGGCAAGAATCTCATAAAGAGTTCTTACTCCTCCAATTAACAAAGGACCAATCAAAAGTCCTTACCATTGAAATGAAATGTATCCTAAAATAACAGACATTGCACTCCAGTATGCATCGCCTAATTGTTTTTAAAACGTGTTTAAATAAATTGAACCAGATTAAAAATAAAATCCTATAGCCAACAATATGGTTAATCCATCATTTATACAAAACTCATGAACAGCATCATTTAGAAATCCAGCCAACCACCAAATTCCAGTGATTAATGTAAATGTCAATCCAGGATCCACTATCTAAGTTAAAGATAATAATCCAATCAAAAAGACTTTATATAAAGGCTAACTTTATTTGTAATATATTCAAAAACATATATGATAACATAAAGTGTTACATAAAAAATAGTAAATAAGGATACAAATACTCCTGTTATGTGTTTACTAATATTCTAAACCAATGTTCCTTTAAATGAATTTTTCTTTTCTTTCACACTAATTAAATCATAAAACGAAGATTCTGTTAATAAGTACATCACTCCCTATTAAAAAATAATGAACTTCACTAAAAATGCGACACTCCCACTAAATATCTTTATGAGAAACTGTCCAATCACGGATGCAAATTACTATAATTGAGGCAAAATAGCATTAAAATAGTTATAACCGTATTGCATATACTCATAGATTTAATCATTCAACAAATTCAAATTATTAAATAACACTTTAGCTTAACAATACTTGGAATCTTGACAGTCCTTTAGACTTCCAAGTATTTTCAACGCGTGTTCTCCATAAAAGATCTCTAAAAAGATTACATTATTTTTATGATTATCTTCGACATCGACAGGATTTAGGTATGATGATAGCTGCTGAATCTAAGATTCAGATAGATACTGGCCTTGCAATTAGGATAGAAGGAAGTCTGCTGATAGATAGTATTTATATTCATTTGGAATTTAATACTTCTATAACTTTGGTATCAGGTCCTCTTTGTATATCATTATATCCTAATATATTAATGCTATTGCTATTGGTAATATTAGAATCATTCCCAACAGCACCGATGCAAATAACATTGTATTAAATAATTTAGATTTGCTAATCCATTCTAATAATCCTTACTCGTCATTTTTGGCTTTCCTCTTAAAAGGATAAGTTATTATTCTTAACAAATCAATACAAGCCCAAAATAAAACATCCCAAAACAATAATTAAGGTAAGCACTACAGTTTTATTACTATAACATAGAATATAAAAATATAAGGAATTGAAGAAATTGTAAACAGCTATTTCAAATAATCTAACATTTTAAATGGATATCTTATGCAATACACAAGATTTATTATTAAATTGAAAGTTATTCCAAATTTTGCTTGATGCAAAAAGTAAATTCTTTAATTTGACCATCTCTAACTATTTGTTTCATATAATTTCTAAATGCTATTCACTACTGAAATTCTTATGCTTGCCAATGCAACAGCAAAAATTATCTACATTCAATTATGCTTTTACCATAAAAAAAAAGGTTGTTAAGTAATCACCCGCTAGTTGATATAAACCATATAATATTCCTCCGCCAAATGCAGTAATTATATTTGCAGTCACTAGATATCCTACTTGAGATGAACTCATAATAAATAATTTAAATATTTATATATATCATTGTATTCAAGAAAATATTTACTAATATTATCTTCTTTTTTGAGACCTATTTAAAAGAAGAGAAATATATCCAAGGATTGTAATTCATCATTATCATCTTCCGATGTGAAGATGATAAAGTTAAAATCAAATTCATTAAAATATTAACTAAATCAATTAATTCTTCCAAATCAAGTTTCTCTAAAGTTCCGATTGGATATAGTATAACTTGTAATTTCATAGTAATGAATAGGCATTATTTGAGTTATGAAAATCTCAACATAAGATTTTTTTTGAAGTTATTCAAATTTGAAATATTATAAAAAGAATAGGATGGATTTCTATTTAACAAAATTAAAAAGAATATTCGTTAAAGAAATATCAAACAGAAATTATATAAACTATTTGATAGAAGTTAAATAATAAACTGTTTATCAAACTTAAAAAAATAGTTGGGGTTTAGATAGACTAACATATCAACAATCAACATTTACAGTTATATAATATATTATGATATAGTTATAAATTTTGTGAAAAAGGTCAATATTCTAAAAATAATATAATGCAAATCAAAATAAGAGTTCTTTATAATCGAATAAAAGACATGTAATATTTATTTATTAATAAATGTTTCTAATGAAGAAACACATTTCTTCCTTTAATTAATGATAAAATATCCAAATGTATATTTATATGAAAAATTGAATCAATTAACTTTTATTTGAACTAGTAATCTATTAAATGATTTGATTTGATACAAGGTCATTATAGATTCCAATTCTAATCTCTTTTAAGAATTAGATTTTTCAAAAAGAGAAAATTAGGTCAAAGTGATAAACAAGATAATTGAGAAATAATAATAAGCATTAGAATTAATTTTTACAGAAGAACTTGAAAATTAGTAAAAGGAATAAGAAGGACAAATCTAGAAGTTGGTAGGAATTATAGTAAAGTGATCAAATACAAAAGTTGTCAAATGAGAACAGCTAAGGGGGAAAGAGTAACCAAATGGAGATTTAAAACATAATATTGCTGCCCCAGTCAAATTGTAGTTGTAGAAGGAGGTTTCAGACAAAATAGAAGCTTGGAATACTCTCGATGATACTTAGAGCTTAATCCATGATTATCAGGATTGTACTTAGGACTAATTTTATACTACATAAGATGTTTAAACTCCATAAGAAAATGAATAACTAAAGTCAGATTAAAATTAATTGATGCCTTAATCAATTCTTACTAAAAAGAAAAAGAAATAAAAAAAATCTAAAGTTTCATCTGTCAAAGAGAAGTCTGTTCGATTCGCAGATAATATTAGCCAAAAAGAGAAAAATATCAAATAAGCATAAAAAATAAAATTTGACACTGATAACAACGAATTTCTAAAAGAAACTTTGTAAAATGAAGAGTTAGACGAGCTAGAAGATGAAGATGAAACTATCAAACTCAATGAAGAGAACACTCAAATAGAGGATGCTGATTAGTAAGATGATATAGATGAAAACGAAGATGAAGATGATAATGAAGAAAGTTAAAATGAAAATGATGAAGAAGAGGAAGAGGAAGAGGAAGAGGAAGAGGAAGAGGAAGAGGAAGAGGAAGAGGAAGAGGAAAATGAAGAAGATGATATTGAAGGTGAAAATGGAGAAGAGGAAGAGGAAGAAGAGGAAGAAGAAGAATAAGAGGAAGAAGAGGATGAAGAAGAGTAAGAGGAGGAAGATTAAGAAGAAGAGTAAGAGGATGAAGATTAAGAAGAAGAGTAAGAGGATGAAGATGCTAATGATGACTTAGATGAGGATGATTAAGAAGAGGATATTGAAGAAAACGAAAACTCTAATGAAGAAATAGATATATCTCATAAAGAAGATTATGAGAACTAAAAAATATTATAGAGATTAAAAGAAAAAGCTCTTCAGAAAAAGTTTTGATTTAATTATTTATATATACAAGAAAAATTAAATAAATTGTGATCATAAATATTCATAAGGTTCCGTTATGTACAGATTTTGATTTAAAAAGTTTCAGATTATAAGAGATGGAAAAGTTAAAAAATTATCATAATAGAATAATTCTTATTTTAATGATGAGAGAATAGGTTATAAATCAAATCTAGTTAATCGAAAGATTAGAACAAATACAAACTTAATTGATTAAAATAAGATTTTGAATTCTAAGGCAGGATAAATAGAATAAACGAGTGAGCTAACGATGAGTTAAACAAGAACCAATTTATAACAAAATGGATATTACCGTAACAAATATTTTAGAAATGAGTTTTATATTTTTATCAATCAAATCCATTTTAGATAATATTCTTAAATGCTTTTGTATATTTTATAGAAAGCCTGGAAAAATTCTCATTTTTATACTTTCGAACTAATTAGTTAAATAGTTTTCTCTAAATAAATCTATTCAGGATGAATATAAAAATCAATTAGAGTTAAATCTTGATCTTATCTTATCTCTCAAATATAAAATACCAATTAATAAAATTCTCCTTATAGTTGTTTAGTTAATATTTTAGAGCATGCTGAAAAAAAATGTTAATGAAGACAAAGCACAATGAATATATTGTAATAGTTGAGCAATATGACGGAAGAAAATTGAAGAAAATGACATATGAATTTACAGTTTGCGAGTTTAATGACTTAGTATTAGAAAGAATTACATCAAAATAAAATATAATGAAAAGATAATTAGTAAGTTTTGTGGCTCGTTTTGTAAAACAGCATCCATAGCTACAAGTAAAGACCCCTTTTTGTTAACATGAACACGTAAACAATATTTTATGAGTTAGGGTTGTTTGTATAATGTTTTAGAGGGACTGGTGAGATCTTTTGGAATAGCATATACAATGAAAGCACTTTTTGGATTGATTTCTGCTTTGTTATCTAAAAATAAGAAAATCAGCAAGGGTAGTTTAATTTTAGAAGCATTTATTGGAATAGATACATTGAAATTTGCATCATTTCCTACTGTCTATTCATTAATACAAAAGACCATAATTTGTGGATGCAGACATATGACACAACAAGATCTAAAAATCATGTCTTTTGTGTCTGGATTTAGTGCTGGATTTGTGAGCTTAAGTTTAATAGAAGAAAGTAAGAGAAAGAATTGGGCTTTGTATTTGCTGACAAGATCAATGGATACTATGTTTAATTCATTAATAAATAAAAATATAGTTGCAAAACGAAGCTATTATTACATCATTTTTATGGGTAATTTATAGCATAATTTCAATAGCAATTGAGGTTTTGGTGACAGCTTATGCATTTGGTTGCGAAAATGATTGCTTAGAGGACTATATGTTGAAGTTTTATGCTAGATTTGGTAATGAGAATCAATGTGAATTGGACGAAAGGAAATGTTGGCATGAGAGAGTAAGAAGGCAGTTCGAAAATAAATAATGATATTATGATTTTCAATATTATCGGCCACCAGTTCTACTAGCTCTTGTATTCGATTATTAAACAGTGGTAGTTTTTTCAGTTGTAGTAATAGTTTTTTATTTTTTCAAAGAATCCAATTCAGCTTATGCCATCATCCATTATTCTTAAGCAGTATGAAAATCTTAATTTGCTTTCATGAATCTTTCTTTCCAAATATCTGCTTCATTGGAATAATATTTCATTTTCTCTGTGGTTTATTGAAATTCACTCATTTCTTGTTCTAATTGTCGAATCATCTATTTATATTATGCAATTTCTTAATCTTTGTTCCTAATAAATTGATTGAAAAAGTTACTAAATTAATCTCATGTAATTTTGCATCTCCACATTTTAAGAATTTAATGCATTTTCCAATTTCAAGATTTACCTTTCTTTTTCTGCTAAAGCATCCCTTAATTATCTGACTTCTTCCCCACCTTAAAGTAGTTGTTGAAATTCTTATTGCAATTTTGAATATCTCTATCTCCAAGAGTCGATTTCACTTTATTGACTTTCTATTTCTTTTCGCAAGCCATCCTCAATATCCTTCATCATTTTGATTTTTGCTTCCAATTCTCTCACTTAAAATTCTTCATTTGATGTCACCTTCAATTCTTATCCTTAATTCTTATATCTGGCTAATTCAGTTTACAAATCGAATATTTTAATTTCTAATTCAACACATTTCTTTTTCCAGGGCTCTTCTACATCTTCAACAGAGAGGACTTACAATTCTCTTTCGACATGATACATCTCATTAATTTCAGGTTACTAAGGAGGAGGTGGAGCAGTAACAATAGGTTATTGAGGTTGAACAATTATAGTTTATTATGGAGGTGCAACTATTGGTTATTAATATTAAGGTATTTTATATTCATGAGTGTGATGCCTATATAATTTATTGTTAATGTACATGTGGTGTTATTGGATAGTTTTGACATGTTGATTTGATTATGTATACATCTGACTTTATGCTGCTTGTTATTAATATACCATTGAAGGTTAAGGTTATATCATCTTCATTTAGATAGGTGATTAAAATTGCTAAGGAGGCAGCCTTTAATTTGTTTAAGTCTATTATTAGTATAAAACAGATTGAACAGGAAGTTAGGGATATTAATTGTTCGTTAACATTAATTAATTATAAATAATTAATTTTAGAAGAAATTCATTTACAAATTAATTCTACTGATTTATATAAAGAATAGGATTTGATTGAGATTGTCAACTACTAATCCCAGATTCATGGACTCAGAGTCTTTGAGTTTAATACATCATTAAGTTGGATTAGCTGGTTATATTCTCTTTGTCCTTTCTTCATAGCTGAACAATGTATACATCTTTTCAAAAACTCTTATCATCCCTCATAATTCTTATTTATTAAGGAAAGGTAATCTATCAATGATAATCCATTGCAAATATTTACATAAATAAAATTTGAATTCATTTACCAAAGTTTAGTAGAATTTCTTCATAATAGAATATAATTTGTATGATATATTTTTCAATATAATCATTAATTTAAATAATGTTATCCCTATATTGGTTAGGAAGCTTCATATTTTTTGTTATTCTTATTGCTATTGCTAGATTTATATACTATAGAATATAGGACCAGGGAATGTAAAGATTCCATAATGAATAGACAAATGAAATAAATCCAGATATTGAAAGTGAAGTGAAAAGAAAGGAGTAGGAAAGACTTGAAGAGGAAAAAAAGAAGTAGGAAAGACTTGAAGAGGAAAGAAAGAAGTAGGAAAGACTTGAAGCGGAAAAAAAGAAGTAGGAAAAACTTGAAGAGGAAAGAAAGGAGTAGGAAAGACTTGAAGCGGAAAAAAAGAAGTAGGAAAAACTTGAAGAGGAAAGAAAGGAGTAGGAAAGACTTGAAGAGGAAAAAAAGAAGTAGGAAAAACTTGAAGAGGAAAGAAAGAAGTAGGAAAGACTTGAGGAAAAAAAGAAGTAGGAAAGACTTGAAGCGGAAAAAAAGAAGTAGGAAAAACTTGAAGAGGAAAGAAAGAAGTAGGAAAGACTTGAGGAAAAAAAGAAGTAGGAAAGACTTGAAGAGTAAAGAAAGGAGTAGGAAAGACTTGAGGAAAAAAAGAAGTAGGAAAGACTAAGAATTAAAGAAGAAAGTTAAAAGCAATTAATGCAATAAGAGTTATAACCAATAAGTTATTAATTTAAGATATAATAAGAAATTAGTACTAAACCAGTTTAGCAATAAATATAAATATTAAACTCTGAAATAAAAAAAATCGATAATAATAATAATCTTTCGAATAATAAGAAATAATATTATAAACATTAATACCAATAATAACTAGTTTAAAAATTAAAAGATTAAGGCGATGCTAAATCAATTCCCCATGTAAGATAGAATATTGATTCTTCAAACCCTGAAGTGGCACTTTTTGTTCTAAAAGAATCATTATTAAGAGATTAAAATAGAGAATTATTAACAACTAGTCAAGAATATTCATTTGGATTTGATTCAATAATAGGATCTTATGGCTCAGAATAATCTTGTTTAAAAGTTAGAAATAAAAAATTTGATTATGATAAAATTATGAATGACAATCAAATATTACAATAACATTTATTAGATTTTTAATAAAAACTATCAAGTTCACTTAATATTTCAATTGATTAAATTGAAATTTTAGGAGTATCAAAGGGAAGCTTTGAAATTAGTTTTAATATTACCGGTATTGACAAGGATTAAATTTTAAAAGAGATTAACGATAATAAAAATGCAAAGAAATTCTTAAATGAATATTGTAATGGCAAAGTTGAATACCTACAATATTTTGATAGTGCCAAAAATTCAGCAAAAGGAGTAACTCTTTCTTCAGATGATTTTAGTCCTAAATACAATAGGAATTGGGATGGTTTTCATGAGAAAGAATAGAGAGGACCTTCATATCATAGATATGATTATTATTTTCCTAGAGGTTGCTATGGATTTGGGTTAAACATAAAAAAGTATGGAAATGATGATTGGGTAAAAATAAATGGCAATATTAATGAATGGAGAATTCTGTATCATGGTACTAACCAAGTTGCTGTTAATCCAATTGTGAGAGATAATTTAACTGCAGGGGGTGGATAGTTTTACAAAGATGATGAATGTATAAATGAGTTTGGAAAGAAAGTTAAAGTTGGAAAAGGAATTTATTTTTCCGATAAAATATCAGTTTCTAAAGAATATTCACCTCCTATCTAGACAGGAAATAAGAGATTTAGTATTTATTTCATGTCTAGAGTAAACCCAAAAAAAATTAGATAAAGTGATAGGATGAAATAAAAAAATTATTTTGTAGTTAATAGCTCAGAAGATGTTAGATCATATAGAATTCTAATTTAGGAAGATTTATGAAATAATTGTTAATAATAAAATTTTACTATTCAAATGTAATTACCTTAAATATATGATATAAATTTAATAATTGATTAAATCTTTTATTCTCTTAAAGAATCTTTTTGTTTATCGTTACTGAATCTTTTTTAAATGATATCATTTATAAGAGACACTACGATGAAAGAAAAACACAAGGTTCAATCCAAAAAACATAATTTTAAAATTAAAACATATAAAAGAAAAATTTTTTCAATCATTATTAATTTCTAATTTTTTAAAGTATATTGTTTCTTAAAAACACAGCAGTTTTAAAACTGTTTCAATCAAATCGATCTATTGAAAAGGAATTGCGTATTTTTTAAATTTTTATAACTATCGAAAGTAGATTGCTTTTCTTTTCTAAGAACTTTAGTTATATAAAATATGTTGAGAAATAAATTAATGTTGAAATTACTAATTGAAAGTGTAATTTTTAGTTCAATAATCTATTTAATAGTTAATGCATAATTAGATAATGGTAATTTTAAATAAGTTAATTACGGATGTTCTAAAATTGAAAGGACCAATCATAAATATGTAACTTTTAAATTTTGACTCTAATTTATAGTATTGAATGAGGAGTCATAAAATGTTGTTTTGTTTTTCTTCAAAGAAACAAACACACTTAAAATATCTTTATTATACATTCAAGCTAAGTTAAAAACTTAACAATATGCAACATCTTCTAACCTTGCATATTTCTCATAATTTTAATAAGATTCTCAATTACAATAAGGCTTCGCCTATCAACTATATATAGAAGGAAAATATAAAATATAAGAGATTTTTCATTTTTGTAATACTTCTTCCATTGCTAAATCAATACGAATGTTCAACTTGAAGATAAGCATACAGAAATCATTCACTGAAACTCAATCAGAGAATTAAAAATACTAAATAAGGAATTGCTCACTAAGCTATAGATTTTATAATAATAGTAATAATGACATGCATATTTAATTATACTAATATTTGATTGTTAATTTATTTAAATTTAAAACCGGTTAATTTGATAGAATGTCTGATTTGGCTGACAAGATAGTTGTAGTTATCAGAAAGAGACCATTAGGAAAAAAAGAGCTGGCAAAAAAGGATGAAGACATTGTCGATGTTTAGAGTGATTAAAGTGTGATTGTTAGAGAAGTGAAGTAATACACAATTGTAAACTTAGACAAAAGGTAGATCTTACAAAATATGTTGAAGAACATATGTTTAACTTTGATTTGGCATTTGATCAGAATGCCTCAAATTAATAAGTTTATTTGAATGCAGTTCGACCAATTATAGAGGCAGCCTTTAATAAGGCTCGTGTCACTTGTTTTGCTTATGGGCAAACAGGGAGTGGTAAAACACACACCATGTTGGGAGATGTGGAAAAATAAATACCTGGAATGTACATTTTAGCAGCAAATGACATATTTTAACTGCTACAATAAGTAATTTGATTGCATTACAATTATTAGCCTGAATTCCAGCATTTGATAGTAGGAGTTTCCTTTTTTGAAATATATTGTGGCAAATTATTTGATCTTTTAAATTAGAGAGGGTAAATCTAAATTCGAGAAGATGCAAAGGGAAATGTCAATTTAATTAATCTAATGGAGAAGAGAGTGAACTCAGTTTAATCCCTTATGTAAATCATTACTTAAGGTTAAACTGTGAGAGTGACAGGTTAATTTTATTTATTAATTTGTTAGCTCAAAATGGAGCCAATAATGAATCATCAAGATCTCATGCTATATTATAAATCAACTTAAGAGCAGGTAAAAATGTTTTTGGCAAATTGTCATTCATTGATTTGGCTGGAAGTGAAAGAGGTGCCGATGTTTAAGATTCTAATAAACAAACTAGGATAGATGGTGCTGAAATTAATAAGTCACTTTTAGCTTTAAAAGAATGTATAAGAGCGTTAGATCTCAATAAAAATCACACTCCCTTCAGAGGATCAAAACTTACATTAGTAATTCTAATTTAAATAGTCTTAGGTTTTAAAAGATAGTTTAACAGGTAATTGTAAAACAGTTATGATTGGAAACATATCTCCAAGTTCATCAAGTAGTGAGCATACTCTTAATACATTAAGATATGCTGATAGAGTAAAGGAACTTAAGAAACCCCAAGATAAATAGTTTTAAGGAGATTACGTTTAAAGAGAGTTAATGTTGGCTAGACAAAATAGTAATACTTTTATCAAATATTAAAATAGCTAATGTTGTTAGAAAAGCATATAAGAATCCAGATGATGAGGATGATGAAGATATATCATGCAATTCAATGAGTAATTCATTGTTTCCATAATAATAACAGCAATTTATGTTTTAATAATAACAATAAATGTAATAATAATAATAGATAATGATGTAATAATAATATCAATCAAATTAATTTATCTATCAATAATAATAATAACAATAATAATAATTTATTCCTTAATAATAACAATAGCTCTAATAACCATTATAATAACAATAGAATGCTCCTAAATTATCATAAATACCTAAAAATTCTTCGTAATAAAACTCTAATAATAATCTTCTTAACAGATTTAATTTAGGCTCATTTCCTACTATTAATGGAGGCAGTTCTTCTAATATAATGCCCAATAATTCCAGATAATATACATAATAAAATTTATTATAATAATAACCTTCATGCAGCTCCATAATGACTGAAGTCCCTTAATAACAACCTCAATTATTCCAATAATAATCATTTTAATAAAATAAATCGTCACTCCTGTTCCCCTAACAACAGCAACAGTATTGTTAGAATAATAATAACCTTTTCTAAGAAAATACATATGAATAAGGATATTAATAATAACAATCAAATTAATAGGCATTAGATGTTAGACAAGATTCGATGGTAGAGGAAGAATTATGCATAAACAATCCAAACTATTTTAGTGTTACAGGAAGGTATTCTTAAGAATCCCAATCCTCAAGACAAAGTTCCACAAGACCCTTATAAGAGATCAACAATTATGAAGGATCTAAGTACTTTAATAATAGACAATTCACAAATAATGATTATCAATATTAGTAACACATTTTGAACGAGCACAAACAAACTATTGACAAAATTGTTGAAATTACTAAAGATGTATTGATATGATTATACCAAAGGAAATGATCAATTTGTAATAAGTCTAATCTCCATAAGATATGTCACCATATGTCTCTAAAGTGATGTTCTAGCTTTAAAACAAAATGGATTTGATTGCTAATTTACATTAAAAGATGAAGCAATATCAAAAAGATTTTGAAACAAGAGGAATGCCATTCCAACCAAATTCCCATACTTTTAGTTTATTTTAATAAGATGACAATTTACTCAACATCGATGATAATGTGCTTTGAATTATAAAATATATTAAACAATTATATTCAAATCAAATTTAGCTAAAATCATTATTAATAAATGACCATCCATTAATATAATTAATAGAACTAGACTTGTCAGCTGATAATATAAAGTCAAAAGGGATGTCAAATTTTTAATTTAAAATCTCCTAATTAATAATTGGTTAAGGAGGTTTATATTTTCTATTGTAATAGTTTCAAATATCATTACTTTTGTAATAGATCATCCCAATTAATTTACCTAAAAAAAGGATGATCTTTTATTTCATCAGCATCTCTCGATGAAGCACCCAACCTAATCATAGGGTTTTTCTCTAAAAGCGATTAAATTATTGATTTGCATTCTTTTGAAATATTGTCTGGAAATGTGATCTTATTGCATTCAATATTATTCAACATTTCATCTCTATTTGGTGAAAAATATGGAGGTTTCCCACTAATCATTTCGTAGAGTAGAATACCTAATTAATATATATAATTCAATACCTAGATGATACCAATCAACAGCTCGCCCATGTCCTACTCGTTTCAACATTTCTGGAGCCAAATAAGCCATGGATCCACAGAAACTTTTAGCTCCATAATTATCTCTAACTCCTTCTTTTGATAATCCAAAATCAGTTAACATAGCATGACCTTGTGTATCAATAACTATATTTTCCGGTTTTAAATCTCTATATATTATATCATTTTTATGAAGGTGTTCTAAAGCTGTCAGTATTTCTGCAATATACAATTTAGCTGCTTATTCTGGAATTCTTTTTTAATTTTAAATAATTTTAGATAAATCTCCACCTGGACAGAAATCCATCAATAAACACAAATGAGTATTAGTTTAAAAAGCAAATCTTAATTTAACAATGTATGGATGATTTAAATAAGATAGGATATTCCTTTCAGCCATAGCATATCTTATTAAATTATGACCTAAAAATTTACTTTTTGGTAAAACTTTCATTGCATACTTTTATCCTTATGCAGTTTTACTTTAATTCCTTTTCTCAACTAAATATACATCTCCAAACGAACCTTTACCTATTTGTAATATAATTCTTATATTCAAGGGACCTATCATTTCACTTTCATTTAGTTATGACTATTATTTAATACTCAATTACAACTTGATTAAGTGTTGAACGATTGGATGTAGAAAATTAGTTATCAGTCTGATATGGCGAATAACATTTTGAAGTTTGTTGATACTGATTTGTTAGGTAATATTATTATTTACTAGTTGGGGAATTGACTTTCTATTAATCTTTGGAATCATCATAGATTTAAACCTTATGACATTGGTTGAATGATTCCTTTTTCATCTTAAAAAAATTTAAACCAACAAATACCCTATAATGTTTTTCAATAAGATTTTTTAGAGTAGAATTATTTTATATTAATTCAACAGGAGATTTATTATCCAAATTCTTTTAATTTAGCTGCAAAGATGGTCTTGCCAAAAGTATTTCTGCTATTCTAATATGTTCTAATAAAGAATAAATAAACTATTGATACAAAATAAACAAGCGTAATGTAATGCTGTATTTTGATGATTATCTATATGATTGATATCAGATCCTATAGTTAATAATAGAGTAGCAATAGAATCACATCCATTTTAAGCACAAATGATTAACGGCGTTTATCCTTGAGCATTGATTGAATCACAATCTGCTTCATTTTTTAGTAGTAAGAGTGATAAGTCATAGTTTTAGTTTAGACAACTGTAATGAATTGAAGCAAATCCTATTGATATTATAATATATCTGATACCATTGTCATCTTTAATATTGATTTCTGGTTTCAAGTCTTTAGTAGGAATCTCTAATAATTTTTCTATTTCCTTGATGTTGTTCTGTTTGACATTGAGTATTAGAAAGTGATTGTTTTCCCTTTTTTATTACCACCAACCTTGCCATGCTGATTTATGTCTTTTTTTCAATTTGGCCATATATTCTTTATTAACCTGAATCTTATCGACTTATCTAATATCATAGACAGTTCCTGTTGTAATAAGTAGAATTTGAAACCTGTGTCTTGATCTTTAAGAAGGAACATTTCGTCATTGAATTTCTATTCATATAAATTAACTGGAGCTGTATTTGTATGAAAATGCGAGATACGTATGTTGGATGATTGATTCTACTATGCAGTTTCATTGAATATGTTTGCAACTTACTCAAAACCTGTGGAGTTTTTAGAGCCCCTAGATTTATTGCTGTTACAATTAGAAAGGCTTCCCTAAGAACTTTATTTTTAATGACTACTTTAATTGAGTTTAAATACTATTAATCAGATTAATATTATTTAGTTCTCATCATAGTCTGCTCTGCATATAATTTATTATTCATTGCTGATGGTGCTCTTGGAATTTCAGTTTTCTTGTTCATTGTATTTAAAGTTGGAGTAGCTGCTTCATTTTATTTTCTGAATGTAGATTAATATTGAATAGGACAAGTGGCATCTCTAGGTGTATTGATTGGTAAAATTGGATGCTTTTGCATAAAAAATATTAATTTAAATTTCTTATTACTTTATATAAATCGATCATAATAATATCATCTAATATTTGTTATCATTTACATATATTTGATCGATTCCATTAAGCTCTAATAAGATGATCTCATATGTTAATTATAGGTTTGAGAATATTGTCCTAAAACTAAATTATTATTAATTTTATCGAATTTTTACTTTTTATTATTTACTTTATATTCATATTTGAAGAACTGAAACCATTGTCCATAATCTAAGATATATATAATTAATTTTTTGAAATAAAATTACCATTTTTCGGGGTTAAAACAATAAATAAGTCTCAGATTATAAGTAAAACATGTAATGGCTTAGAAAAGAACCTGGTTTTCACCTTATTTCAACATTTTTTAAAGAAAGACTTGAACTTTTTCTCTTTTCTTATTCGATTTTTCTTTTTTCTTCATCCTCAAGTTCTTATTTTCTTTATTATTATTTTGTTAGCCAATTTATTCTTCTTGAATTCTTCTTCTATTTGCTTCTCCACTTAACAATCTCTTCCCTTCCTCCTCTTCAAGCTCCCTTTACCTTCTAATATTAAATAAGGTAGCAATAACAATTATTGACAATAAAGAGCTTCCTAAATATTAAAGAAAGCGCATTCTTTATATTCATTATTTCATTCATAACATAATTCATTAAAGATATCATTTTAATTCTAACCTCTAAATTTTTCCAAGTTTTTTAAATAGATTATCAAAATTCATTTAATATAAACTGAATCCTTTTTAGACAGAATATTTGCTTGGTTGAATCATATTCGAAGTTTAAATTGAAGAATAAAATTTTATAACCAATTTATCTACTAGATAAATTTCAAATATATCATCAGATCATGGTATATCAGGTTTTTCGTTTCAAGAAAACATAAAAATGATTCTTTTATTTCCTTTCAATTATTTATGCTATAAAATTTAGAATTCTATTTTTTCCATTCACAGAGATTTAATAAACCTAATTATTCTATGAGTTTCTCAAGACATTCAATAATTAACATCTTTTGATTAATTTAAATCTTTGAAATGATAGATTTCTTCAATTTCAAATCTTCAGCCTCTTCAAATTTAAAATCTAATATTAATAAACTTTTACGTAGTAGTTTTCATCATTTTTATATTAAGCCTTGTTATTTTAACAAACAAAGTTTGGACTACATAGAAGATTTTTGTTTTCAACAAAATTAAAAAAATCAAAACCATTATTCAACTTTTAAAACATATAAAATGGAGTTAAATGTAGGCTAAAGTTATTGTTATTAGAATGCTATAAAGTTTGTATTAAATTGTTTAGACTGTGGACACTTAACAACTAAATCTTTATTTTAGCTTAAAAAAGGTGTCAGAATTATGCTGTGTCTTTATTTAAAGAAATAACTAATACCCGGAATCCAGATAGAAGTTTAATACAATAAAACAAAATAATAGGAAAAATAAGAAAGTAATCCATTAAAAAATGGACTGAAAGGCTTTAAATGTGATAAATAACCGTAATAAAAACTAGATTTAAGGATATTCAATTAATTAATAACCTGAAATAATCGACTTTCTATCAAAAATATAAAGCAAATTCAGTAATATGCCACAGAATGATTATTTATTTAGTTTGTAAGAATACCATAAATTGAGGTTTTAGGAATTTATGAAAGGCTAGTTTAAGAGAAGTTCGTTTAGATGAAAATATTATTTTACTATTCCAAATTCATATGGCAAATATTCATTTATAATGTTCAACAATTAGTTAGAAGACTATCACTCAAGAAAAGCAAAAAATAATTTATTTATGCGATATCATTTACATCATATCAATTTTTTTATTAAACTTGATTTGGAAATGTTCACAGTTATCTAAATTATGGTTAAAAAATCAAAGAAATCAAGAGAATGACATAAAGCTAGAATTGGGAAAGGTATGAAATATTTCTTATTCATTATATTTCAATCCAAGGTATGGAATGATAAACAGCGTATTTTACCTTAGATAATGCTTCATTTTAAAAGGTGAAATATTTTAAAACGAAGTGTTTTGATTAGCTAATTGCTTATTCCTGCCTCCTTACAATTTTTAATTGAACTTTAAATATGAGATGTATTAAATTTCATTTTTTAAGAAATTGTATCAGTGAAGTAATAATAATAGTAAATTTCGGGATAATTGATTAGATAATTTTGATGAATCAAAATGGTTTATGAAATGAATGATTTAGCAACTTATATTGCTTTATAAAATTTGTTAATAGATTTTTATTTACTAGAAATATAATATTACCATCCCATTTATAAAATTCAACTTTTTATTATTTTTTAAATTCACCATAATTTTCCAAAAAAATATCTTATCAACCAAGTTAAAATTATTTTCAAATATTTATCTGCTGAAAGCTTTAGTCTCAATGTATTGTTGATAATTATTTTTCATTAACTTTATTCTTGACTATTAATCATTAGTTTAGAATTAGACTTTCCTCAATTATGTAATATACCCCATATTTTAAAATCGATATTAAATAGTTATACATTAAATGACAATCAAATCCAAAATCTTAATCATTACTTAAAAAATAAAATTGAATTGAAAATCATAAAAGCCTCATTTATATATTTAACCAAAATAAAGAAAATAGAAATTATTAATCTATGTGTAAAGTTTAACTTCATTAATAATTTCTAAAGATCTTATTAACCTTTTGAAATTATTCAGTCTAAAGCAAATATTTATAATTCGATTTAGAGAGTTAGTATTTTTCAAAGTGATTAAAATACTTTCAGACGAATATCAACTCCTTTTAAGAAGATGATTGCAAATTTTCCATTGCTGGTTGGTTTGGTTGATGAAGTTAAAACATCTAACATTTTAGATTTAACAATAATATAATATATAAATTAATACTTTTTAATTTATGTAAGTAAGATATTTGTCAAGAATTTACATAATCTCCTCAATTATATGACATAAATAATTATGATCATTTATTGTATTCTATTTATCTTAATTAATAAAAAAGGCAAAATACTAAGCTTGGTGTAATTCTTAATTTTATGGTACATTTTCAACCTACTAAATCAAACTAATAAGATTTAGAATGACTAAAATATATGATCGTACTAAAAAAATATTTAATTTAATTCACTATCATTAAAAAAGACAAATTAAAAAGTATTATGAGTCATTTAATAATATTTAATTCAAAAACTCTATGCTTACTTTCAAATATTCTTATTTTCAATTTAATTTATATTACATTGCAGGGTTAAAATAAAATTTTTGGCTTTTGTGTTTATTAATTAGTTAAACACATTGTTTCAAGGCTTAAAATTCTATTGTTGATGTGGCTTCAAAAAAGAAAATTAAGTGCTCTTGATATTAAGTCAAAATAAATTATATTTTCATTTATTACCTCCTAATGTTAACANNTATCCGGGCACATTTACGTAGGTTGCATATACACATATTTAGAAATAAAGAAAAATTGTAGTATTATTGATTAAGAATTTTAGGGCTTATGTAAGATGAAATAATCAAATTGGATAGGTTTTAGATTCTATTTGATTATATATAGATTTCAAGTTTGAATAATGTTAAATTAGTGAAAATAAATACTGAGTGACAATATCAAATATCTTCTCTAGCATTTCTTCTCTATATAATTAGAATCCTAATGGATTTAATTTAAAATATATCCTAAAAATTCGTGTATAATATTGATCGATAATAATTTCTATTTTTTTATACATTTATTAATTTTATCTCGATGAGATAATTAATTTAAGAATATTAATATGAGATTATCTAAAATAAATTGCTGTTCTAGTATTCTTAAATACATCTAGGACAAAAAACACAAATTAATTTATATTTTGAAATGATAAAATTAAGTATTTCAATTATAAATCCTTAATGAAATACATGATGGTTTAGAATTCCGTTTTTGATAAGTATTACTGAATCCAATCGAACATTTAATATATTAATATTGTAATGATACATAAATTGATGTAGAAAATTATGTATGGTATTTTCTTAGAGTTGATATTTTATACATTTGTATTGATAAAATTTGAATTGAATATTTTAGATTAAGGTTTATTATAATAATTTAATCTATTTATTTGAATAAGTTTATTTTTTTATGAAAATCTTTTATAAATGTAGCAATAAAGAAATGAAAAAAGTTAAATATCTTTTTGGAATTTAGAATTGGTACTTTTTATTCTTTTTTTTTATTGAACTTTAAAGTCAATTATTGGAAAATTTTATATAAAATAATAAATCAAATTTTTTAATACTAACGATATATTTCAAATAATAAACAATTTAAATGCCTAAATTTCGAACATTACCATGTTAAAATAAATCTAATATTTTTGCGGATGAGAATTCAATAAGGTTTGAAAACCATTGTTTGGCTATTTCGATAAATAAGGATAATTAAATCATATTTGTTGCAAGCGATTACTCTATAACTTTGTTTCAATTTAAATTTCCATACTTAAAATACTTACAAAATTGTAAAAATCACACTAATTATGTCTCTACTTTAAATAACTTCAAAAATTGTTTGTAATTCATATCAGGCTCTATGGATTCAAATATTGTATTATGGCCATTAAATCTCTTGAAAAGCAGAAAATATTTATAAATACTTTAAGGACATACTAAAATGATTACCTGTTTAATTCTGATACCAAAATTAGAGAATTACATAATATCTGGTTCTATGGACAATACAATTAAGATTTGGAATATTACCTAGTAATAATGGAGATGTGTACAAACAATAACAGATCATTAGGATTCAGTTTTATCTTTAGCAACAAATCTTGAAGGAAATAAAGTTTTATCGAGTGGAAAAGATAATACAATCTTGGTGATTGAGTAAAATTAATTTTTGTCTTGGGAGATTAAATAAAAAATACATGTTAATTAATTTGGCTATCGACTTAATTTTATTGATGAATTCACAATCACTTTC